GTAGGTATCCCGCTGGTCCGCGCTGCTCTCTCGCGACTTCGCTGCCAGCCTTCTCGCGATGGCGCGACGCGGATCTCAGCGAGGTCCTTGCCGATGAGTGCTGGGTCAATTGTCACCCTCCACTCGCCAACCACCTGCCGCTGACGGCTTAATGCCGGTGCCCATACGGCCATGAGCACACTGGCGCTTGCCTTCCATTTGCAGAGACCCGTGTGCGGCTTGGAAGGGCCGCCCCCCAGCCCACCTGCCCTCAGCCCCCTGGTTTGGGTTGCATTGTTCAGAAGGTCACACCGAGGCGGGTCGCGTAGCGTTAACATTAAGCTCTTGTTGATTAAGAGACACCCCTGATCACCCCTGCACAAATGTTTTGCTTCGGGCAAAGTTTGATCACCTAGGGCAGATTTTGGCGCACGACTTCGGCCATGACGGCGGCCAAAAATCATGATGGCAGGCCTGGTTGGCCCACTTGTGGTGATTTCTGCAACGACTGCAGCAACAGACATTAAGAGGTGCACACGCATCACACGCATCCTACCGTATAGCACCGGAGATGGGGTTCGGCGCAGTCACTGTTTCTGGCACTCGGGGTTCACTGGCACGTGGGCAGCAGGGGCACTTGCAGCGGCGGGCGGCGCAAACCAGTGTGAACAAGCAGCATCAACCCACACTGGAAAATTTAACCCCCGTTTGTGATTATTTCGTGGGGGACCCCCGCAGCAACCGGACCGGTCTGCAATCATTTCCGGGGATTTCCGCTGAGAAGCGTCCGCCCCCCTGCAATCATTTCGGGGGAACAGGGTCAGACCCGTCTGCAAACAATTCCGGGTTTTCCCATTGAGACAGGGTCAGACCCATCTGCAATCAGTTCCGGGTTTTCACGTTGAGGCTTACACCCGAAACCCTAAAACCCTTTGATGCTACCAGTACGTCGTGCTGCTTCATGGGCTGTCAGTGGCTGTCCGGAGTGTCGAGGCATAGCCAGCAAGACGTCGCAGAGGGGATCTTTAGGATCTTCCGGGCCGTGCCCTGCCTTGCTAGTGGTGGTGCCGGTGTGTGCTGTGAACTGCCGCGCCCTCGAAAGTCGATTGACTGACTCTAGGCAGCAGTTTTTGTCGAGAGCTTGGATATCTCATGATCATGGTGTTGAGGTCCCGCCGGGTCATATAATCCGCCGACCCCAGCAACAGCGGGGCGGCGTCAGTGAAGACCCTCCCTGCCCTCACCGCAACCTCTTCCCCCTTCCCCTTCCCAACCATTCCACTCCACCTCTCCACTTGGCCTTGCCTTCCGCCCCTAACCTCCCACCACCAACCCCTTCCCCTGCCCCCCCTCCCACTACCCTTCCCCTTCCCAACCATTCCACTCCATCCTCCTCCCCTACCCCCCCCGCTCCCCACCACCCTTCCCCTTCCCAACCATTCCACTCCACCCCCATCCCTTGCTCCCGCCCCGGACCGCTCCCCTTCCCCATCTCTGTCCCCCCTCTCACCGCTTTCACCCCACTTGCCACCCACTCGGCACTCCGCCCTCCCCTACCCCCACGCCCCCCCCCCCACCCCCTTCCCCATGCAGGCCTACCCTCTCCCGACTACTCCGCCCCTCACCGATCTCTGCTGTTTCAGGGCCCACACCCGCCCTGACCGCTCCCCCCACTCCAGCCCTGCCTTCCATCCCCCAACCCCCCACCCTCGCCCCCCCACCCACCGCACCCCCCCAACTCCCCCGGCCCTATGCCCAGTGGCGCCACCTGGTTTTACGGGCCTCTGGCACACCCGATCAGCTGACTGACTTTAAAGGGCTCCGCCCTTCCCGCCCGCTCCGCGCACCCTCCCCATCGCCCCCTCACTTCCCCCAATGGCTCCATGCCCTTGATGGTCCCCTGACCCTGTGCCTACTGGCTCATGGCCCCACAGTTTTACGGGCCTCTGGCCCTTTGCCTCTCTACACTCGATCAGATGACTGACTTTAAAGGGCGCCAGTGCATGCCCGCCCCCTCCGCCCGTCCCCCTCACCCACCACCCCCCCCCCTACCCCCCCCCCACCCACCCACCCCACCCAACCCCCCGCCCACCCCATCAATGCACTGGGTCCCGTTCGCGATAAAACAGACCTCAAGCGCCCCCCCGGCCCTATGCCCAGTGGCTCATGGCCACCTGGTTTTACGGGCCTCTGGCAGACCCGATCAGCTGACTGACGTTAAAGGGCTCCGCCCTTCCCGCCCGCTCCGCCCACCCTCCCCATCGCCCCCTGACTTCCCTCACCATCACCGTCCCCCCAACCCCCCCCCTTTGGCCAGCTGGCCATGGCCCCCTGGCTCCATGCCCTTGATGGTCCCCTGGCCCTGTGCCTACTGGCTCATAGCCCCACAGTTTTACGGGCCTATGGCCCTTTGCCTCTCTAGACTCGATCAGATGACTGACTTTAAAGGGCTCCAGTGCATGCCCGCCCCCTCCGCCCGCTCCGCCCGCTCCGCCCTTCCCCCCCCCCCCCCCCCCCCCCCCCCCCCCCCCCCCCCCCCCCCCCCCCCCCCCCCCCACACCTTGGAAAATTTGGGGTCGGCGGCACTGGCGGTAGCCATTAAATCGGGCAGCGCGAGGTCCCCAAAGGACCGAGCAAATGCGGACCTTTTAGCCCGGGTCGTCCCGGGAATAGCCTTGCTGGCCTCTGGCCTTCTGCGAAGCAGAATTAGGCCGGACGCCAGTGCCGCCGACCCCCGCGTGCCGCCGGTGAACGGTTTTTTTTTCGTGGTTTTTTGCGTCGCCACGGAGGCCCCCAGAGGGCGCGCATCATGAGCATCAGCGGGTCCAGCCCGGGACCCCCAGGCGCGCATCAGGAGCATCAGCGGCTCCCGGGGCGGGACCGCGGGGGGGCATCAGGAGCATGATGCCCCCCAAAGGGCGGGCATAAGCGACGTGTCTAAGCCCGGGGCTAGGAAAAAGGGAGTTTAGGGGCCTTATAAAGTGCTTAGAAACGTTAAGGGAGTCTCGGAGCCTCAAACGCTTAGAGATTTGAAGGGAGTTAGGGGCCTGAAAATGCTTAGAAACTTAACGCTTAGAGATTTTAAGGGAGTTTAGGGGCCTCAACATGCTTAGAAACTGCTCGCCCCGGGCTTCTGCGCGCGCTGCCCGCCCATGGGCGCAGCCCCTTAAAATAATGATTGCACGAGGGGTCGGCGCTGACACCTCCCAAAATCATTTCCAGAGTGCCTGGACAAGTCGCTGGAAGCTCCCTAATGCCTCTTGGCGGCAAAATGGAGTTCAGCTGTCCGAGGTGCCCAAAACAAAGCATTTTGCCAGACAGTAGAAACTCCGGCAAAGTAGATTTCAGCTGTCGAGGGCCTACGTGCAACCCATTCCTCCTGGCTGTGGCTGGCCAAAACACACGCTTCTACAACTGCCGTATTGCTTCCCGTCGAACAGAAAATGAGTGCAAGGGGGCAAGGTCTTCCCTGCCTTTGCAATCTTCCTTTTTTACAGGCGCTGGGACGCCGGGGAACCCAACGACATCTGCAAATGATTGCAGCCCACCCGGAGGCTAAATTGCGATATCATCTGCCCCCTTGCAATCATTGTGGCTGATGTTTACGTTGGACGTGGTCTCCAAGGCCTCGACCCCCCTTTATAAGGCAGCGGTGATCAAGCGGCGAACCGGCAATTTTGAGAGCAGTATGGCATACCCGACAGTGGAGCGCTTCCTCGCTGGATACACGTGTGAAGGTGGAGGAGTCGGGCAAAGTTGACTACAATCATGGGCACGTGGCACGCGTGTCAACATATTGCAGCACTGACGGATAGTGCTCATGTTCAATACAAGTGATCGTGAATTCATCTGGCACTCCAGGTGCAGGCAGAGTGACAAGGTGCGCCAAAAGTAGCACAACTCAGATGCTAAGTGGGAGCCTACATCTGCAGAAGCAGGTCTTAAAGCAAATTGGGGACATGCTCGGTGCAAATACTACCGGGACAAACACCGAATTCCCAACCTTGTTGCATTCGGAGACTTCTCGCTAAGTTGGCAGAGCTGAGCCACCGCTTTCATTTCAACAAAGCTGGCCCCGCCAGAAATCTCCAGTGACTCCCAGTACGTTTGAGATCGTTTGAGCGAGATGGGAGATGCCACAAATTTGTTGAACACAAGTAGCACACCACCTTGCGGCAGTGTGCACGTGCAAGACCGGAGGCATGCAGCAGGATCGGGCAGTACACGAAGGAATTCGTGGCTTCAAATTGGTCCGGCAGCATTTCGGCAAATAAACTTGAGCAGACGGCCGTTTGCCCTTCGTTTGGGGGAAGCACGTGTCCATGCGCCCGAGACGACTGGCAGCGTGGAAAGACGAAGCCATGCGGCAAGGGCTACCTAATGCTATCTAGTGATCATGACCCAGTTTTCCTTTGCTGCGCGATGGCCTCGGCCTGGTGCCAAGGTTCATTTCGACCCGGCAATGGGGCAGGGCAATGGGTCCATGACGCGGCCCTGCTCCGGCGGGCCACGCAAGACCCAGGTTTTCAGTTTACGCAGGAGAGCATAGCCGCTCTTTGTCAGGAAGCAGGCACACGTCCCCTCAATTTGAGCTTCGTGACTTCTATCAAAGAATTCAGAAAGTACAACTGTGACGGGCTGGCCCTTCGCGGAGCGGATGTCTGTTGCGTATTGCGTTCCGGTACACTCGGACATCGTCAGGAAGGCTGGACTTCGTGAGGCAGCAGCAAAGCCTGTTCCATCCTGCGCATGCGGATGCACGAGGCGCAAAGATGTGCAAAGCCTCCACATATGCATTTTGGCGGCGATGTTCGCGCTTTGCTCGAGTCCAAGTCGCCTAAAGCGAACCTGCCCTAAACCTAGACTTCCTTTCATCGGCAGAAACACTGCTCAGGAGTGGATCTTCCCAGCCGACCTGGCATCGCATGGTCCGAGCAGCGTGTCCTCTACCTTCTGTTAACATCTGTCGTGCAAGTTGGATTGGACATGCTCGCGTGCTTTGCAAGCAGTTGGCGCCTCACTCAAATATCGAGTCGCCAGGGCCCATGGTAGAGCTTGTACAGCATCAGCGGCTTGATGCCCTTCGTGCGAAGTCGCTGGCTTCATGAAACGATGCAGCTACGTGGTTCTGGACATTACCCTCCAGTATCCAGGGACCCTCATGATGGGCGGGAGCAAGCTCTCACATCTCTCACCATTCAGAGCCTCAATGCGTGTAGGCACTTGACGAACGCGCTCATGGCTGGCCTGCTCTCCGATTTGCTTGACAAGTGTGCATCCAAGAAGAATCAAGGAAGACTGGCTGAAGCATACAATGTACTGCCCTCCTTCTGCAACCATGTTCAAAATCCGTGCTGTAAGGCAGAACAATCACAAGTGCCCACCGTCGAGCCTTGTCCGAAAGGCTCGCGCTTCGGATCTGTCGAAACAAGACAATCATCAGGAGCGCTGTTCTTGCCGATCCCAGCATGTGCAAAACTCAAACTTCACTTACACGTCTAGCTGAAGCTGGCAATTTTCAAAACATCGCAATGTGTGCAGGCAGCGCCTTGGGATTCGTCATAACCATCCACAGGCGCTCCTGCATGAGATGAAAATGCACGAGTCGGCTTTGCATGCAGCGGCCGTCAAACCCAACATTCCAGCTTTCCATCTCTACAATATGCCTCCTCGGACTACCACCGTACTTCCCCCTGTATGTTGTGAGCACATCCTAGAAAACGGTCCAGCTTGCGCCGATCTGCTGGATCTGCTGGAAACCGTCGATGGTGCCAGGATGATGCCTGAAGCAGCATGTAAGTGATCATAAATCGTTTTAGAACGCCGCTCACACACTCGGACCCGTGCTGTCCCGACAGACGGATGATCTCCAAGACAGCTGGCCTCTTCAGTTTATGCTCGGTTCGGATGAACACTTGATAACACTTGTGACCTTGCATATCACGATTGCAGAACGCAATAGGATGCAGATGCTGCTGTGATTCGGGGAGAGCGCAGATTCAAGGGTCGCTGGCCGACAATGCCTTATCAAGATCCAAGATGAGCATGCGTTTCGTGTGATTTGAGGGCAGTCTTCGCATGCATACTCGGGAAGGAACACCCAAATGAAAAAGTTGGACAACATCCTAACAACTGGAAACTCCGTGCCCAGGCCCGAACTGAAAGTGTGTTACGGGTTCCGCCGTCCCTGATCTTGAAAACATTGTGGCAATGTGGCCGCTCTGAAATTTGAAGGGCTGGCTTTAGAGACGTGATCTTGAAGCTCAATGGGTCCCCATCTTTCCCTGTCTTGGTCCAACCTCATCTTCTTCTGACTTTGCCTCGGCCCAACAGTTGGCAAAAGCAGCGCGTGTCGTTCCCAGACTTCCTTGAGGCATGTGCGGTCTGAGTGCTCTTCAGATTGGAACCCCCGGAATGCCTGCGACCTGTCCAAGGGAAAACTGCAGCCAGCTCTACACAGTACTCTTCGAAATCCAGGTAGCTTCTGCACAGCCAGAATTTGGAGATGCCTGTTGATGGCACAATGCGGCACGTGGCCATGTACACAACTTGCCTTTGCTGGCGAAACTGCGCAATCTCCTGCTTTTGGCCTGGACGAAGCAAGGAGCTGAAGATTCTTGTTTTTTCGATCTTGTCGATTAATGAATTAATGTGCATCGCTGCACTCCTTTGTTGGATCTGTACAAAGCTGCGAGCCTGTGAGGCTTCGACCTTCACTCGCCGACCTGCAAAGGTAGTGGTGCTTGTGATCCAGAAATATAGGGCTTTCAAGCAGCTCATGCGCGCAGCTGCTACCAGCATCATCAGGCATGCACAGCCCTTTCTTTGCTCCAGGACACCTTCTGCACGAGGGCTCGGCAACGCAACGCTCTCATAGGCCTTGGCACTGGGGGTCAGTGGGGGACACTGGGGAACACTGAAATCGCATGAGACATGCTGTCGAGCGCAGATTGCAATGCTGCGGGCATATTGGATCAACGATGCTCAGTGCCTCTGAAAAGTAAATGCAGCATGACGAATCAGAAAACTCCCACATGGCCCCAGGCAGCATCAATGTCCTGTCCGGCTGCGAGCGTCTGGTGCTTCTCTGGAATTATTCTTCCCGAATCTGCCTTGCACTGCGATTGCGATCTACCGTCCTGCTTCGAGACCCACTCGTCGAACAGCTTGCCCAGTCTCTTGGCCTTCATGTCCAAGAATGGTGACAACTTTATACCTTTGTGGGACGTGAGCTGATCTCAAAATACGCTCTTCTTTCAATGAAGCCCTGGAGACGTGCCTGTGACAAGATTGTGAAGGCTCATTCTTGTTGACAATGTCTCTCATGTCTCTTTTTACGGCATTCTGACGAAAACGACCCTGTGCACAAACGTACTGGCACTCTCAAGGCCTCTCCAATCCATCACTAGCAGGCCTCTGCATGTTCGTCCAAGTACCCCAAACCGCTTGCAGATGTTGCCTTAACCTGACGTACGAAGTTGGCACGTCACGTTTGCATCTAGTTCCGCCGCTGTTTGAATTGCATACTTGGAGCCAATTCGCTCCAACGTGTGCCGCGGATAAAAAGAGTTTAAGCTTGGCGCTGTCGCAGTGTGCGCCGCCGCTGCTGTCCGGGGTCTCCTGCCATGCCCCATGCGGCCCTCCGAAATCTGCCCACTAACGGCCTACTAGCATGGTGCCGACTTGCCACAAACAAAATGCACATGCTCTTGTGCGTACTACTGCAAGATGCATGCACCCCCACATCTACGACAGCATTGGACCCAGAAGGGGCCTGTGATCGTAGCCGGTCTTGCCGGTGTGATCATACATTCCTCGCAGCGACTCAAGTCTCCACCGGCAGCGTCGTACTCTTGCCAGCATTCACAACCTACTCTTGCTAGGCATGCTGGTGACTGCTGGTGGCGAGTCTGGAGCTGTGCAAACTTCTCTGCACAGCGGCATGCATGTCTGCAAGACCTGATGTGTAATCCATTGAACTCCTCACTACTCTACTGAAGCGTCGCATTCAATTTCAGCATATTTCAGTCATGCAAGAGGCTACATTGGGTGGCCGCTATTAGAACATACGCAACCACACAACACTGCTAGCTTTGCGAATCAAGCATTCCCGCGCTTCCTCCCGTGGTGGCAGCGAAACCACTCGTTGCATGGATCTCGGTCTCCGCCTTCACCGTGGGATTTTGTGTTTTTTCGATTGGTGCACTGTGGTGCACTGCTGGCCCTTGCCATCTCGAAATTCAAAACCTCTGGACCCAGTCACACTTGGCACACGATGTGCAGGGACAGGTGGTGCAGTTTGTGCTAGTCTCAACCAATTGGGCTACGGAGACTGTCAAAGCTCCTCCTCAGCTGGCGGCGACGGGCTCCGAGCCTGTTTCGGGGGGTGGGGGGCGCGGGGGCCATGCTCGTAACAGCCATGCTGAGCTCTCGACTCGCCCTTCTGGGCTCTTTGGCTTGGCCATCGCCGCCTGATGCAAGCATGACAGTGATGACAGTGGCAGCGCAAGGTCATCATGAGAACACGTAAGATTCGGGATTGCGCCTGATGCTGGTCAATCTTGTCTCTGTAAAGAGCCTCAAGCATGATGCGTTCTTCTAGTTTCATATGGTGCCCGCTTGCCATGTGCAGACTTGGCACAGGCAACATCATGAAACATATCACGTGCTGGGGGCTATGCCAGGTAGATGAGGTGTTGCCGATGCTCGGGCGCCATGAACTCCTCCAGCTGCTTGTCCGGATTCCTTACACGAATAGCAGCTTGAGCTGAAGCTAGGGCCCTCAGCGACCTCAACCACGAACGTGGAACGAATAAGTGCCCTCAACCTGGAGATTCCTGGAGCCAATGAGCCAATGAGCTTAGGATAGTTTAGGCGAAGCCTTTTTGTTTTGGACATGGGTGAGGCAATGCACTCCAACAGATTCGTCGAGCTAGCTCGGTTTTGGATGCCGGGCCTTCACGAAGGAGGCATTTAGGATTTGGAGAAACTCTGACGCCGGCACGTTTTCCGTTCCATAGGTAGAATCTTCCACCCAAGGGCCGACCCGTGCGTGATGCAAGCTCACTAAATTAATAGTTGCAATGGTTTTCTGGATAAAAAAAGGCCACCAACTCTGAGAGCAACACAGATACAGCTGAGGAGGGCTCGGGGGCCGGCATGGCAGCGGCACCTCATTTTTCAAATCTCTGAACACGTCGCAAGGAGAGAGGTCCTAGTTCGGTACAGTTGGATGGAGGCGCACTGCCGCAGGTCCATTAACTGCTACAGCGCTTCTGCTACTCACAGCATCCGTTGAACTGGACCCCAAGCACCAGCAATGCACCAGCAATGCACCTGCAACATCCTGCAACATCCTGCAACACTCTGTGCGCATCGAGCCGCAAAATACTTCTCAGGGAACAGGTCGCACATCTGAGGCCCCCGACAAATTGATTTCGATGCCAGTGCATGCGGCCCGCCCGGGAAGAACTCAGGATCCTGGCGGCAGGCCCTTGCTGCAAACTTTCTTGCGATGGGCAATTGGTGTGTTACTTTCGTCTCTTCGGAGACTGCACTGAGGCCTGCAAACCACTACAGTACAACTTGTCTGGACCAAACTGAATGTTCTCGGGTTTTACCAAAAGATGCTTGCAGTTCAGGCTCAAGGGTTCAGGGTTTCCCGGCCAACCCGACAATTTAGCCTTTTGCAAGTTTTCTGGAAGGACTGTAGGCCGCCGGCTCAGAACGAGAGCTCTGCTTACGGGGTCTTTGTGGCAAAACCAGAGATGCTGAGATTCCGAACAAAAACAACGGCCCTTCAGGCTCGCGAGCCCTGAAAATTTCAGCTCCGAAGCATTGGTCCGTGGAAGCAATCATAATAACCATATGCAGCCTTTGAAGCATCAGACAATCTTGCGCTAGCTTTCGTGACGTGTTCCAGCTTGATCTAACCTCTAGTCGTATCATCTTAGGTGTGCCATGGCCATAGCTTGCACACTCCTTGTCATCTCTGGCCGATCCGGCCATGATCCTCCTGAATGTCCATCCACGCTAGTCTGCAGATTGGGGCTCCAGTTCCTGGCTGGCTCGCCTCAGACAAGGGGAGCTGATGCTTGCGGCAGCCGCGGGTCACTGGATTGCGAACTTTGCTGATCTGAAAGAAAACCTAAGTGCCAAGACCCCGCATCTTCTTGGCCTCCCAAGATCGCATAGTCTCGGCCATAGCTGCCCTGACACGACACACATGTGCTTTCTAGGCGTGACGTCCTGCACAACACCATCATGCACCATCACAAAGCACGCGACACTGAGCACAGTGTCGCCGCCTGCTTCGGCCATTGGCCTCGCTTTCTGCCTTGTCCCTACGCGTGTGACAACTTCCAAACGGCCGCAATAATGCATCACATGAATGTGTCACATGAACAAGCACTCGCTACACCAGCTTGCAACTTAAGCTGTTTCAAGAGCTAGTTGTAAATCGATCAGCCACACAGCCGCCAACACGGCATCCCCTTCGGGAGTGATGGGGCGCATCGCACATCTCAGACAACATACATCGATTAGTGATAGGGGCAGTCGAACGAGCACAACTGAAATTTTGAAACGCGCGACACATGCGACATGATGACATGTTGCTGTTTTCTCGCAGATCCGAGTGCAAGTCGCGCATGCCGCGTGTCTGCGAAAGTCGACGACCATGTCCACGCACGTCTCCCTATCGCCTGCCCCCCACTTCCCCACTATCAATCTTGCAAAAGCTCAGTTCATACCTTTTGTAGGCCAAAGTACAAGGTTGGGAGTGGGGTGAGGCTCCACCACGTCTGGCCCAGCAAGTGCAATGAGCACTTCAACGAGCTTCAGCGCTTCTTGCGTGGCTTCTATGCAGGGCCGGATCACCAGCCCTCCATCTTGTGCGCCTTAGCGCAAAAGGCTCTTCCTCAACCTCAACGATGTAGGTGCTCACCTGAGCCCACCGTCTTGAACAAGAGAAGTCGGCTTGGTCCTTCTCTTAGAGAACCGGACCAGATCTGAACAAACACGTGCTTGCCACTTGCATCCAGACACACGCATGCATTAAGTTGACGATGTCACAGGGCGTGCCAAAAAACAACAGGATTCGGATATTGGAATTGGTTCTCATGAGCATTGTTTTCTTTGATCGGCAGAAGATGACTCCGAATGTCGAAGCTACAAAACTATCTCTTCTGCATACAATAGCACTCAAGAATCTAGGATTTGTTTGGCATCGTGAATGTGTAGCCTGCGGTGACTCGGCTATTCGTCCCTGCTTCTGTGTTTGCTAGCGGTGCGGGGGTGTGAGCCTGTGGGACGACTGGTTAATTTTCGGGTCCTTTGTCTATGCTGTTCGTAACTCTAGTTTAGCCTCTTGGGATCTGGGAAATTGGTCGTCTGGCCATGGTGTTAGTGCAACATCATGCAATACTGTATCAATGCAAGAATCATAAAGTGGACACGTGCATGCCAGGCATGGCGCCTCGGAAACTCAGCCAGAACTCGTTGCACCTCCTTCTCGAAGAGCTCGAACCGAATCGGCCTGTGCGAGATTGCGCGAGGGAGGCAACAAACAAATTTACTGTAGATGGACCATGGCATGTGGTGCACACGAAGCTGAGGCCAACGCATGTCCAATTCATAGAAAGGGTTCTTCAGCCTTGGATGCCCAGGAAGTGTTGGAACACTGGCTGACCGACTGTCTGACCCATTGCCAAGAAACAAAAGCACCAACTCAACAACCATCGAGGCATAATTACCCATGGATGGCCACTCTGCCCAAAACGCGCGCATTATTCACAACTGCACCCCATAAGGTGGAAGGATGATCAGGGGCAGGGGTGAACAAGCAGCGCTGGTCACACACCAACCGCCGAAATCACAACCGCTTCAGTGCCAAGATGCACATAGTCACTGTACAGGCCAAAAACCTTGCAACGTGCCAAAGGCGTTCTGAAACACAGAAAGCTGTAGATGGAAACATCTCGCAGTGCACAGAATCTAGTGCCAACAACTATTACTGAACTGCCTGCCGCAGCAATGCATCGACTTCAACGTATGGCCTGGCCACATCTGAATCTTCATGAATCTTCAAGCAATGGACAGTATCGGAATCAACAACTCATTGACCTCACTCTAAGCATGCATGTTTGCAAGACCGCGGCGAGCAAAAAGTCAAAAAGTTCCGGCCATGATCCGGACAGTGCATGTCTCGGACACCGACGGAAGAAGCACACAGAAGATCTTCATGCCGGTGGCTGTGTGAAAGCACTGCAGCCGAAACCTGAAGTTGAGCAGCTCGTGTTCAATGGGCACACGGGCGAACATATGTGAACATGCTCTCCGTCTGCAGAAATAGGAACGTGTCGGCATCCAAGGTCTTGATGCCACTCGGCTGCAGAAAGCCCAAACGACCTGGCGCATGCGCTCAAGCTGTCTACAGCCGAAATTCTTTGTTGCTGCACTCTCAGCTTCATGCGGGCAAGCGATCTTGCCTGCACTTCGTTTCAGTGGCGATATCTGCGCGGCAATGGCACTTATGCCTCGGCCAGCCGAGTTTCCGGTCTGTACTTTGCATAGCAGCATTTGGCGACGGCAACTTGATTGGATTCTGTCAGTGAAGACGGTCATCGTGCCACAGGTGAAATTGGGTAAAGCCTCTCCAGCTGGTAGGGCAAACGCACAAGAAACAGTGAGCTGTGGACCGTGAAATGTGGATGAAAGGCGGATCTTGTCGTTCGACGAAAGTGGCGCAGCACCCTGCACCGGCAAGAGGGCTTTGCGCCAAGCCCCGCCCATCACACAAAGGTGTTCCAGAGCTTTGAACTTGCCATGCGGCACGGAGGTTGCGCATGCCCTCACGAGCCGTCACAAGCCAACATCAAGCTCTCGGAATCTACGAGCTCCAGCTCTAGGGCGTGCCCCGCGAAGCTGTGGTCATGCGCCTCTTTTTCATGACTGTAGATCAGCGAGCCGTTTCCTCGGTAGCCAACATAATCTACTCTACGGCATGGATTGGAGAATGCTCGAGAGACTCGGGACCCTGCGGTTCAGGATGAAAAGGGACACAATCTTGGCCGAAGGCATCCGAGGACACCCGGGGCAAACAGCAACTGAAGTATGTTGTGGGTATGGAAAGGTCACGTAAGGTCCCCACTCCGCTGACCATGCCCCCACCGTCGTCGAAGTAGAAGATGACTTACAGTTGAGGTTTGCTGGTAAACCATGTGAATGAGGTGTTGCTGTTTCGATGCATGGTTTGCTCCGATGAGATTTCTCTGAGCCAGGCGGGCAGTTTGCTGGGATGAAGCTTGCAGTAAGGCACAGTCTCCGATGGTCTGCAAGATGCGATCGGCATCAATCAAAGATGGAACGCCGTCCCTTCTTGCTTTCTTGCACTGCAGTAGGTCATTGCAACAGAATGGTTTACGCAAGTTCATGGCATAACGGCATGAATGCCTCAGCTCGTTGGCCAGAAGCCAACGAGCTGAACAAGCTACAGAAACATATGCGAGCAGCTGCCATGTGAAGCTTTGATCTTCATCATGATCTTACTAAGTACAGCTTTTCTGTAACATTGTGATTACGCCGCTCGCTGGAAAATCTCTTCAACACGTTAACAGAGAGGCTAGGGGTCCCACCCCCCCACGATGTCTAAGCCTGCGGAAACAAGGTTCGTTTGTGCACTCACTGAGCATGAGCATGAGGGTGGAGGTCTCTCCGTCGACAGCAAAACAGTATCCGCCGGGCGAGTCCACAAACACCGGCAGACTGTCCCTCTAGGGGAATGTGACCGACACCACTGTAGGGCGCATGTACCTTAGCTGAGGGAACGTCAAGACTGCAAAACAACGTGCGCGCTGAATCAGTGTGCTAAAACGGAAACATTTTATTACAGACGTACATCGAGCAGCAACGGGCACACCCGCTTGTCCTCGTGACTTCTTCTTCTCCTGGACCATGGTCCTGTAAGCCTCATCGGCCGGATGAGTCCAAGAGGTCTGACCCGTCACGAAGTTGAAGTAGAAGATCTCGTTGTCCGAGTTCGTGCACGGCTTCCAGCCATCTTTCAGAGGGGCTTTCAATCCCTCCTTGGCCAGGTGCATCAAGTCCGTGTCCTCCTTGGGATCCAAACCCAGCCATTCTGCGTAGTTTTTCACCTCTTCATCTGTTGGCTCGAAGTCATCAGCAGGTCGCTCTGCTAATACTCGAACACCGGACTCGACGTCCATGTGCGAAAATAGTGGATGCTAATCCACAGAATGCACTGGACTTCGGGCGACTGAGCCGAAAGCACCGGCCATATCGAAAGGTTGATTGCGCCAAAGGCGATTCCAGACTGCTCTGTCCGTTGAGCAAAATCTGTCTTTTGCCAGCTGCCGACTTTGAAACGAGACCAGAAGTTGTCGGCTCCTTGTTTCAAGAGCCTGTCTATGTGCATGTAAGTCTAGAAGCAGCGACACAAAAGCCAATCGCGCCTTCCAGCCAAATATCTGGACACAGCTGGAAATGACTCGACGAGTCTGCACAAGGCTTCAAAGAAGACCGACTTTCTGGTGACCGCATTGCCTACGGGTGATGCAACCGCGGTCTCTTCACTTTGGAAACGCACGTTAAAATTTCTGGCTTGCAACTTGTGCCGCCAACACGAGATTACTTTTGTCGAGGAGTGGAGTATTGTCTTGACAGCTGCGCGGACGAGGCGGCTGTTTCTATGTCCCCATCCTCAATGCTCGTTTGCCTGGAACGCTGTCGCGGAGCTGCCTTTCCAGGACAGCAAGAGGGGACTGACTTTGCTAGTGACCATGGTAACCTACAGCTCTTGTCATCGGATACTGGCGTTAGGACAGGATTTAAACGGGCCCGACAGCATGGCAGCTCTTCCGTTGCATTTCTTCTTAACGACAACTGCACATTATCATTTCAGAGATGTCAAGCTCCAACTGGATGTTCAAAGCAAACCAGCATTCACTGAGTTTGGTACCTGCATCTGGTATGCGCTATCGAGCTTCCAGTCAGCCTGCAAGACAAGTTCTCAATCTTGAGGTTCGTGCCTGCAAAAACCCGTTGCAACGGGGATCGACATAGCAGTCAAACAGCTGCAATGCTTCCCACCTCGACGCGCTTCATCTCCGACATGCTGCTGTGCCTGGAAAGAAAAAAACCGCCACAAGGGCCGCCACAAGTTTGCACCACCGGCTACAGACGGCTACTGCCACCGCAAGCATTCCCCCAAGACAGCCTCGGCAGCGCTTTTTTCGCTGAAGACGCAGACCTGTCTTTCATCCTAGCCCTGGCCCTAGCCCTCATCGAAGCAATTTCAAATATGCGGGCTGTTGATGGTTCTGTCTACAAGCCGGCCGATGATAACTGGACTTCCTGACTGGCAGCCTGGCATACCTGGCCTAGTATCGCGCTCGGCCCGATCTGCACCGAAGCTCAACGCCTCGCAAGTGCAAATGTGTAAAAACATGAAGCACCAGCTACCATTGCTATGTGCGGATTGCTCGGCATCGTATCACCCATAGCAAGCGCACAGCTTCTTGCGTCCGTGAGATGTCGATAATGTGCCAAAGCTGGCGTTGTCAGCCCACAATGGTTACCTGTACTTTGCTGAGAACCGTGTCCACATATATGCTTGGCTCCCGACTGCGAGCATCACGCTGATGGCCAGTAAAACCTTGAAACATGTTACAACAAGACCGTGGCGAATGTGCTACATACGCTACTTGCATGGCTGTTCCACCACACATGCAACTCAGAAAATCGAATTGTCTTCTAACCAATTCCTTGGCGTCAAAAGCTGTACATGTCTTTGCTGCTCTGGGGGTCTCCTGCCTCCACAGGTTGCAGGAATTTGCAGGACGTGCATCAAACCGCCCCCGAACTGATCGTTTGCTCAGCTTCCGGCTACGGGAGAGGACACGGGCTCCGGCGTCAAGGGCGGGCCCAGCCAGGTGACGATGTGCGCCCTGCTGTGTTCGGCTGCGCAATTCTTCATGTGACAACGTTGACACTTCATGGCACAAGACTCAAGACTCGAAACTTGGGAACGGCTTCTCGTTGCATATGACAGAGTCGTTGTAATGTTAGATCCCGTGTGCTGTGCTGCCCCCCAAAACAGTCCAAACCCATTTGATCCCGTTTAACCTTCTCCAGAAGTTTCGTCATTTTAGAAAGGATCAGTTGTGTAAGTTCAAAAGGTACGCAATCATAAAGAGCAAACACAACTTGATTGGTTGAGGGCGAGATTTTCAAGGGGCGGGCCTTCAAGCGAGCAAACCAAGATTTGAATTCCAAGGTTCCCGTGCTTTTGGGGTTTTAGAAATCAGAAAATAGTAAACTTATGATTTCTAAAAAAGAAACCAAAACCTACTGGCTTAAGATAGGATCCCAAAACAGTGCCAACCATGCAGGGCCCAAGGATGCCCAAGGCTCAGAGTCGAGAGTGCCGGCTTTGGATTCTTAAAACACTGATTCTCGAAATCCCTGCGGATTAAGGGCTCCTGGTCTTATAAATCCAAAGCTTTGGGCTTTTAGTCAACGATGAGGCCTGGGCCAGAGCCGGGACGTTAACGAGGGGCTCAAACAGTGCCCACTAGCAGGGGGTCCGGGCGGTTCCTAAATCGGATTGATCGAGATGGCTTCTTCACCAAGGGAATCCTTGGTTTCCGCCTCAATTACGATTCCATGATTTCGGCATGCCTTTAAGATTTAAAGGGCCGGCCTTTTAAGCCAAAATAGGCCAGGGCACCGGTTCAAAACAAACCCTAAATCTTCAAAAGCCATCGGATCCCGGGAACAACTTGACTTTACAAAGGTGCCACTCCGGAGCCCCAAGCAGTCGCACGGTCTTGAATAGCCCGGCCAACTTGACGGAAAACAGGAGGGCCCTCTTGAACAGGCACCTGCCCTAATTCGGAGAGCAGTTCCCGATGGGGAAAAATGGCCAACTCTTGGAAACCATTTCCGCAGGGGCGCGTGAGCATCAACTAAAACCAAATCGAAATCTTAACCGCCCGAAATATCAACAAGCCTTTGGCCACACAGGGATTACATGCACACTTGCGAAAGCATCACGAAAGGGTTTGTCTTTGGAGGATCCATGGGGTCTTATCTGTATGTGACCGTTTCACCATGGCCCGGCCACGTCGATGGTCCGCGGCTCAAAGGCACGACCGAGAAAACGTAGGTCAGCACCTTCAGCGCGAGCAGCATCAAGAGTATCAAAGCCGACAAAAGTCCAACGTGACCCTACCAAATTTGAGACCCGTGTACATCCCAGGGATCATGCACAATGAAAAACTTCCAGAAACCACGGTCCAAGTCTGAGATGCTGACGGATGACGATGCTTGCGCTACAATCTTCAGCACGTTGGAGCAGCGCCTGGGATTTGACCGCCCCGTGCGCGCTCTATTCGGGCTCCAAACACGAAGGCAAGTTGTCAACGCGCTGCCAACACGCTGCAGTTCCATTTTCCCATTGCTGTACATTGCCGTACCATACATGAGCCATGTGAGGTCTTTGAGGCTCCGGCTTCACCAGGATGGTTGCTGTCCACCCAGCTGGAATCCACAAAACAGCACATAGTAGCACTCGACCTTAATTAATAATGTTGGCCGCCCACCGTGTTGCGAGCATGAAATCCGCATGTCTGAGCTGACTGCCATCCCAGCCGGCAAAAAACCCACGATGCCAGGGCGAGATGGTTGCATAGACCTAGGCCACGTCACCAACGCTGAACCAGGGTTTAACTTCAAAGCGCATCGGGCCTCTTGATCGAAAACGAATAGTGGAACAACCTGACAAATCGCAAGTGAACGTCTATTGGTTCTGACAATGCTGCCACAAGCTGGGCTTTGCACGAACACCAGGAAGGAGTTCACCAGTACTTCACCCAGCAAAAGTTGGGCCTGACACAGCGCCGCCAACCAATGTTGACCGGTGGACTTCTCAATTTAAAATCAACAAGCCTTCTGCTCGTACAGCTCTCCACTACCCTTCAAGAACTTTTCGACCAACAATGCGCCGAGACCTCGCGCGAAGCACACTGCAACATCCGACTCTCAATTGCATGAAGCATCGCGTCCTGTGGAATGTTGAGGCCGCCGCAGTTAAAACAGATAGAGCCCAGCACCAACAAGATGCCCACAACTTCAATCCTGCATGGTCCAATTGTGTGGCCGTCCTCCCCCCCCCCCCCCCCCCCCCCCCCCCCCGCTGTCCTGCCGACTAGCGCATCTAGTGTCCATTCGATCACTGCCGTCCGGCTTGAAGGGGTCTCTACATCTGCTCGCCAACTGAACTTCTACAATCACTCATGTACGCCTTCGTGATGATGGCCACACTGCAGATTCGACTTCAGCATGGCTCTGCACCTTGCAAGTGCAGCGCACAAACTGTCTGCCAAGTGGACCTGGACTGAGCTAAACAATACTTGCTCATAATGGCGCAGCAAAGCTGAGCACTTTTTTTCGAACAGCTGGTTATGGCAGCCATCTATTGTGCGCCGCACTTTCCGCCGATGGAAGTTCATGTGGTTGCCCTGCTGGCCCGGACGATAATGATGCGTGATGATACGGTTTCGCATCTCAAGCCCTCCCAGCCTCCTGAAAGAAGCTGACGCCCTTCTCCTGGGTGTCACGACCCGGCCGCGTGTCCAGATTCAGCCGGTGGCCCAAACGCAAGTCGAAAACATGCTTTCCAATCAGTGGTAGTCATCCTATGTCGTCTTGCAAGCCCTTCCAGCGACCAGTTCCAGCATTGCCCATCGCGTGATGCAGAGGGATGGCATCCTCACGGGATACATCGCAATCAAAGTATTTATCTTCGATGAGTCTCTTTGCTTCCTCCCTGTGCTTTGCCTCCAGATGCCTTTTGACAAATTCGGGCCCGCGGAACAATTTGGAGCACAAAGCGCAACGAAACTTCGCACCAGCAACTTCTTGAATAAACGGCTCGCACCAGGAGTCATCTGCATCTGCCGCATCTTGAAGTGTACCTTGACCACCGCACGCACCGTTGCTTTGAGAACCCAGCTCTGCAGCCTGCTTTCGAGCGACTTCAATCTTCCGATGGAGCTCTGACAAATCCATTCGAAGATGCGCCCGCTGTTTGTCCACATCGATTAAACTCTTAGCTGCAGCTTCCTCAGCTTCCTGAACCCTGCGTTCTTGGTCGTCATCGAACCGCAGCAACGCAGCAGGTGGTTTGACGTCTGAAAGCTGTATTTCGTGCGACTGTGCGATCTCCCGCACCCTGGCAGCAGCCCCACTCATCGAGGGCCTGGCGATCGGAGTCAGAGCACAGCATTGCTCAATCAGATCGGCACAGTCCGCCGGAACAGACTGGGGGATGCGAGGAATTTGGCCCGCGGCTTTGGCGGCTGGCAGCTTGGAAGCACTGACTTCCGCAAACGGCACTTGCTTGGTCAAGAGCTCGAAGAAAATCACAGCAAAGCTGTAGACATCTGCTTTTTCGGTCAGGCCCCCACTGCTAGCATCGAACATTTCAGGAGGGGCCCAGACTGGACTGACACCCTGCAGCGTCGACTGCACATATGTTGCTTCGCCTCGCATCTTCGCAAGGCCAAAGTCACAAAGCTTCGCAGTCCAAATCGGAGCACACAAAACATTGGGACTTTTCAGATCCAAATGAAGAATTCGCTGACTGTGGAGGTACTGCACACCACGGGCGACATCTAAAGCAAACGAAAGGGACTGTCCCAGAGTCAATGGATCTGGTAGGGCTGGCCCACCATGCCCATGTAGAAGCCTGGACAAACCGCCCTGCTTGATGTACTCAGTGACCATCAGCAAGCTACGGCTCCCCCCGTGCATCTCGGTCGAGCCACGCCAGAAACGGACAATGTTCGGATGGTTCAACTGAGACAGCATGGCAATCTCGAGCAAGAAGTCCACGACATCGGCATCACTCGGTGCCCGTGAGTTGTCTTTCATCTCCTTTACCGCAACACGGACGCCAGCCCATCGGCCATGGAATACCTCTCCAAAGCCGCCCCTGCCAATTCCTGAAATGCATGACGCGATGGTTTTGCCTACATTACAGCAGTCTGTAGTTAAGTTAGCAACTCAATACCTCCATCTAGTGCTTGACTCGCTGTCAAAAGTAAGAAGAACAGCCAAAGTTCTTTCACCGCGCGAGATTTCCAACTCCCATGGCTCCACGTGCCACGGAGGCCGCGGCATGTGACCACTGAGGTCTGTCCGTGAAGACGGTGGCAAGACTTCCTTCAACTCTCTCCCTTGGATGCAAGTGCTCTTCATCAGAAGGTGTCGATACCTGCAAATTCGAGGACATGCGCTTCTACTCTAGTGATCGAAACTTAATCCAAACCGTTAGAACTTTGTCATGGGGCTTAACACCGTGAACTTGCAGCAAAAACGCTGCTACACTGCGCAGCAAGTAGCTCCTGCGCGCGTGTAGATGGGTCCTCATACAGAGCACCAGGGTCGAAAAGAAGGTCGACAATACAAGGCATCTGACTGATGTTCACCACGTTATGCAGTGCATGCTGTTGGCGTTGCAAGGTACAGCCAAAAGTGCCGAGCCAATCCGCAACTGCTTTGAAGAGGATTGCTCGCTCAGGACCCAGGGCGGCGCCAGTCCGGCTGTGAGAGCTCCGAGATGGCGATGCGATCTCCCCCAAGAGGCTCCCGAGCAGCAGCTCTCCGTTTGTCCGGCGCTGGCTTGCAACCAGCTCGGCATGCCTGGCCTCCAGATCTGCCGCATGGACCCCCGAGCGCCCGCACGCATCGGACACAAGCAAAGCCAGGACCATGGCCTGTGCGGCCTCGTCCTTCGCCTTGCGCAGCTTCTTCCGGCAGCGTTCGACAAAATGTTCTAGAGCCTCGTCCTGGCTCCTGTCAACCAGCAAGCACTCCACTCCCGGTGTTAACGGGTCGACATTCAGACCGGCTTCGCGAAATCCATCATCCATTCGACTGTTCGCTTCCAGCTTACCTTCCGCAAGGCAGTGAAATCCTACATATGCAGGTTGCAAAATTTAAACGTGATCCTTGACTAGGCAGAAGATGACTGAAGCACAAAAAGTGTGCTAGCGACCTTTAACATGCAAGATTGGAGCTTGCTGATTTGTGTAAAAGTCAACCACAACAGCTCGTAAAGAAAGCTGGCAAAATTGTTGCGAATTGTAGCGTTCTTTTGTCATGGAGGGGGCCCCGGGGGACGGCGCCCCAAGCTTTTACCATCCCTTACTTTAAGCCTCTTTCCGACAAGCTCCTTCGGTTTCTCAAATTGGTTCACGCCCCGTTTAGGCCTCTAAGTCGTTTCTTCGTTCCCGGTGGCGGTTGCCACCTTTGATGAAGCCTCCTCTACGCCTCAAACTCATTCGAAGAAACCTCGTTTAAGCCTCAAATCTTCGAGCGGAAAAGCGCTGATCGAAAATGTCTTACAGCTGGCGCTTGTTGGTTCAAAATTGACTCCGCTCTTGGGTTTCCAGGTTTGCAAAGAAACGAAGGCGGGCATGAACTGCCCGATTGGCAGGTCGCAACGCTTCATGTGCTTACTGTTGCTCGCATTTCGAGGATGATGGATGTCGGAGTCGCTATCCTCGCTGTCGGTGCTGTTCAGATTGCTTGGCTCTTCCAAAGCGATCCCGTCACTCTGCGACGTGTCCGTCATCGTGGTGCGGACACCTTGTCGGGCCCTCAGAGGCGATGTCGGATTCCATGTTTCGAGGGAAAGGGATGAACCGCGGAGTTTTGGGGTTTGGTGTGTTCAGGTGCTGCTCCCTGAGACCCTTCCAGCAAAAACAAGTGCATACCTGTCACAAAATGTTAGGCCCTCCCACGCGCCGTATCTGTTGAGATTCGGGTCCAAGGGAGGCTCCTTCATTAAGGGTACCAAGCTTGTTTGGGGGAGGCCCATTCACGCCGGTGCAGCATTGTCGCTGGAGCATGGCACAAATCCTCTGCCAACTTCGTCACCAGTCAATACTCAGAAGGGTGGGAAGGGTTCGGAATGGTTCGGACATGACAGGTGAAGAGCAATCCGAACAGTAGTCCCTGCCGAGAAACCTTCTTCGAAAAACGATCGTGACAAGCGCAATACAGCATTGCCCGCTTCTGTGGGAGCCATGGCCGAGATTCTTGTGGACGGACCCTGGCTATTAGCTTAAACGGCGAATGGTTTCCAATGGCGGCCTGCCGCGGACTGTAGCAACTGCATAGCTGGGAGCCATGTGTAAAACAGAGCTGGCGAGCAAAGCCCCAGGTGTGTCCCAAGCAGCTCAATGCAACAGCCGAAAGTGCGGAAGCAAGTGGAAGCCTTCGCCTTGACATAGTAGAAGGTGATAAGGCCCAGCGACACAGCCTGGCACTGGAGGTCACTGGAGCATGAGCAGAACAAATGCTCTGAGATGCTGACACTTATATAAATATGTAGTTGGACATCAACAGGAAACTGTCTGAGCATCAAAACAAGCGGGACGAGCCATCAAACTGCACCACTGTTGCAGGGAGTACCTGCTGATTGCAGGCAAATAAAATACATCATGATCTCAAGCACATCCTGCAAGGAATTTGGCCTCCTGTTGAAGAAAACAGCACTGCTGACACCCACCTTGAGGCAGCGACACCATGGCACGATGTGCATGGCACGATGTGTTGTAATCATCCCTGAAGTGCCCTTCCCCACCTTAAATCAGGGAGAATCCGAAGAGCCCACTTAATCATCCCCGGGTTGCCTACCCCCGCACATCCCAACAGTCCCAGCACCAAATCCCGTGGAGCGTCCCCCCGGACTGCATAAACCCATCCTTCAAAATGCTTGGAAGTTTCATGGTGGGTAATTTGTTCATGCTGATTGAACTTGTGTTGATGGGTATCTCGTATTCTCTCGTTCAACACGGCCAATCCCTGGCATCTGAGCTCGGGTCCAAGGGCAGGCTGGCTTGGCCAAACACGCGCACTGTGCCTGCATCTAACTCAACGGCAGAGCCGTCGCAGGTCACACCATCGGAGCGTGTCTTGCAGCCAAACCGCCGACCAGATTTTTTGCCGCAAGTCTCCTTCTGTCTGTATCAGACGACCAAGACAATGTCTGCCCTTTTCTGGTGCAAACATGTGCAAACGGTTCACAACCCATCACGAGGCCAAAGAAATGCAAAACCTCTCGAACAAACGGCTGGTCAAAAGGCAAATGACTGCTGTAATGTAAGGCCGATAATTTCTTTTTCGTACACGGAGCCTGCAACACTGCCTGTCAGTGTTGGCGATCTTTGACCTGTACCTCGCCAGGCTCTTGCTGAGAGCTCTTGCCAGCGTTTGTGCCGCAATCCCCATCAAAGCTGGTGTGAGTCGCCCTTGCGATTTAAGCAACAAAGGTAACGTAGCGAACCATTCGCAACTTCGATCTTCAACAAATGATGCAACGATCACGTATAAGATGGCATTGGTATGCCACTAGCAGGCACAACCTGCCACTACCCCTTCCAAGCCGGCTGCTCAGGGGCTTCAGGCATAGGGCGTGCCTGGTCATGTGTGACTGCATAGGCCGCCGAATGCTCAAGTAGAAGCAAGCATTAAGCGCAGCTTCGACTATAACAGTAGGCTGAGAGCTCTTACTGAGCTGCAGCTGGGTCACAGAGTCCTTTTCCCTTGCCTTCTGCCGTGGATGCAACGACCTGCTCAACACTGGCCTACGCACTGCATGAAGAGAGCAAATGACCAAGTAGGCACTTAGGAGTTCAATTCCCGGCAAGACCCGCTCACAAATCGAGGTTAGCAAATCGAGGTTAGCCGAGCGACCAAGCCCACAATGAGGCCGTACAGGCCCAAGGCTTCGGCAAAAATCAAGATCAGAATCCTTGGGCCAGCTCGGACTTTGATCAAAACCTTGCTGGCCTGCGAATTGTTGCCTGCTTGAGGACTACCTGTCGCATGGCTTCTTCTCAGAAATCGGAAGACTACTTCTGATGCACAAGGTCTGTACTTGTACGGTTGGTCACTCATATTTGAGTTTAGATCTTCTGCTCATAACGCTGGTCTTCGCGATTCGGGCTCTGGACTCAGCGTGGCTTAGAGGATTACCATGCTATATAGAATTATATAGCCATGCTACGTAAGACGTAAGTAGAATAATTCAAGGTAAGTGGCATGCCGACGAACAATCGTGGCTGCTGGGCGTTTGCACGGACCTTGGCAAGGTTGGCATGAATATGAGCTTATGCCAATCTTTGCTGAATTTCAACATTTGCCAGGCGGCGCCCGCATCTCCAACAATGCCAATGGCCAATCCAGCAGCCAAAGAGCCTAGTGCTGAGGTGATAGATTCCGCGGGAGGTGGCTCCCTTCAGTACGCACGTATGCCTAGACATTGGCACTTGCGACAGATGCTGTTTAAGCGTTAACATACATGATACAGCACTGTACAGACCTTCTACTGGTATCTTGATGCGGCTTAGCAACTCATGCCGACAGTCAAGCCAGCTCCCAGGTGTGCGTAGCCTTGACCGTCCCCCAGTGCGCGTTCAAACTGTTCACATAACTGCACTGTTCATGCGACAAGCTCTTCATGGCTCTTCTTTTCGGTGGGTATCGGCATCGGAGGGAGGTCCCTTGCACGTGGCCGCGCAACTGGTTTGAGTGCTTGGGCCAAACTCGTCAGTTCGCGCTGGTGGTCCGCGTACAACAAGCACAGTGGAAATGAGTAGAAATGACTAGCAGTCAGCCGGAAAAACCTGCTGGGGCAGAGGCGAGGGAGGCAGGACTCAGGAGAAAAGAGGGCCAAAACGAAAGAAGCAGCAGCCCAGAATCTGGGCCAGAGGGGCACCGGGCGCAGGATGCGGAGCCCCTCGTTACTTACTGTGAAGAAGATGCCCTGCAAAGGCAAACGAAAAAGGAAGAGCAGGGAATGGAATGGAGACGGAGGGAAAGGATGATGCAGACAGGAGCAGACACTCCAATTGAGGGGCATTCGACAGACTGACAGACAACGGAAGGGAAGCCGCCGCAGAACCCTCCTGCAGACACCGCGCCGGGGACAAAGTCAACCAGATGCCTAGAAAGGAGCTCTGAGGTCATAGCATCATCCCGGAGATTCACACTCTGCCGGTTTATGGCGTTCATAACTTGCGAAACCAAGCGGTCGACCAACTTGAATTGAAGTCCAAGTGGTTGCCGAAATCGTCCCCATGCTTCTTCCCCGAGGCCGTGAGGTTTTGGCCACTGCTCGTGTCTTTCTGTCTCTTTCTCGCTCCCTCCCTCCCTCCCTGCCTGGCTGCCTTCCCTCACCAAAAACAACGCATTGAACTTGCTACCCGTCACGAGCACAGCACACAAAGGCACCTGAGTAGGCAGAGTAGTTAGCCGCATCCATCTTGCCATTGATGATGACCTCTATATTGACTGAAGCATGTCGGACAGGTTTCGGCTGCTGGAATTCCGAGCCCGTGGCGGCTGTGATCAGGCCGTAGATGCCCAGAACTCCGGCCATGACTACTGGAATGATTGACTTCCTTACTTGAACCCTCTGCTGAGCAACCTGCTCGCATGCCAGACGCAAGCACAGCACCTCTAGATGCACAGCCAACATGCTCAGAGCACATGTAAACGCAACGCACTCTCTTTCTCTGATTTCCTAAATGTCGTACCAAGTCACATGATCATGTCTGGCCGCATGACTCCCATAGATGCAATGCCCACACCTGACTTTGCAGTTCCATAAGCTGCCTCAGGCCGCAAGCACACATCGCATCGCATCACCATATCTTGTGCAATGATTCAGGAAGCGTACCACATCGTACTACGCATGCTACAGCATGTTACGACTTGTTACATGCTACAGCTCATGCACGGCACCATGCACGTCAGACCTCCAAGACAAGTGAAAACCCTATACGTTAGAGGACAGGTAAGTGAAGAGCACGCGCAGGTGAAGAGCACGCGCATATAGAGAAGCCAAGACTCACCCAGATTCGCAAACACAAGCCTGAGCTCACCAACGGGCTTACACTGAGTCGTTGGCGGGCAGATACGGGGTTTCTTCGGATGGAATTTCAGTTCACGCTATGCTCTCCAAGGGCATGCTTTGTGCATGCTGAGAATGCGCCTGCAGCGCGGAAGCTAGCATGCGCAACTCTCAGCAAGGGACGCCGAAGTCACGCCCATAAAGCCAAAGAAGGCAGATGATGGATCGCAAGGCTGCATGACTCCTTCCTCGGGAAAGTTTTCGGTTCCGGCCACCCCCCCCAACTCTGGCCTTAGAATAGTTCACTGACCACAAGCGCTGAGCATGACGTGGCCAGTTGCATCTCCAGCGGCTGCAGTGCAGGCAGCGCGGCAGAATAGGACAGGATACTGATGGCGCTTTTGGGAGGCAGTGATGCTGCGGCAAAGGGACCCTATTTCTTCGTCCTCTAACCTGACAGTTGCAGTATGTTGCTCTCTATGCTATACTGCCACTTGCTGGGTGAAAAACCTATACAACAGTCGGCGTATCTGTATATATCTATATATACATGCGTGTGTTTTAATCAGTACACACACAGAGTATGAATGCACGCTTGTCTACGCTTGTATGTATCATCCTAATTCTCTAACACATGGTAAAGACAGGCTGTCGTTCCTTCGACAGTTTCTGTCAGCAAGGCATGTCAACAACAAACCTTGGTCCCAGCCTGCATCTAAGCGACCGAGTGCGTAAACCAGCAGCAGCTTGCTGAGGCAAAGGCAGGCCGAGACCTGATGCCAAAATATTCACAAGAGCCCGCGAATCTTTTCAATGGGCCACCACGGCATGCCTTGACAATTGGCAGTAGGAATCGTCTGTCCTCCACCCGTGTCATCATGCCAAGGCAATGACCGGCAGCTGCCAAATCACCACCTTCAGTCGCTTTCAATCGCAAGACTTCCCCCCTTCCAGCATCCAGCAAAATTGGGAGATGTGGAAGGGTGTATGGCGCGTCATGCCGATATGGGCCATTCTCATACTTTAGCCATTTTGTTCTCGCGCTCGGAAGTAGGTGTGGATGAGAGCTTTTCTGTCCGGTATGAGACTGCCCTTTGCCCTTCACCATACTATGGGCCATTCTATCACCGCCACAGCCGACCGCAGACCGCTGGCTTAACGTCTGCTCTCCTGCCTGCTTTCCGTTTGGTGCTGGCTACTGTAAGCACCGAGTCCCATAAACAAACTGCACCCAACCAAGAACTTAAGAATGACGCTCGCAAATTCCCAGCCCAGCCACATTGCCTGCATCACTTCGTGGGTGGGGGGGGAGGGGGGGGGAGGAGGGGGGGGCGGAGCCCCCTCCTCCTGGATTCAATTGGCGCGAACCTTAAGGCAGGGGTGGGGAACTGTAGAGTTTACAAATGTCAGCAATGAAAGCATGACCAATTTATTATATTTTTTGAAGCTTTTCGGGTGGGACCGCGGACTTACTTAGTCAAGAAGGGACATGGTAAACAAGAACGATCGCGAGCTCCCTTGGAAGCTAGCTTTCGTGACATGCTGGAGATCGTGGCCAGAATCACGGCTCATGCAAACGAAGATGCCTTCATGTCCAGACATCTTCGCACTCTCGGGCACCAGAAGGGATGAAGCCTGCAATTCGGGCTAACGAGGACCAACCCGAACCAACTGCTGCAACGACCTGACTCTTGTACATGTTGGCGCCATGCCATGCTTGCAGTTAGCAGCACAATGTATAGCACAATCTTTACCAGTCGCCTGAAATGAGGACGCGAGCAAGACACACTGGGTCTTACTGCGATGCAGAGGCCCACGAGCAGGGACAGTGCTGTTTGCACCTAGGCATGCAAGTGGATCGTCTGATTATGTCTGGCTACACCATGGCATTAGAAAAGGATGGAAAGGCATCCAAGTCTGGCTTGACATCGACACACAAGCGGCTTCTCCTCAGGCTCCCCGGAAGGACGGTGGCATGATTCGGCATGATGAACCCCCTGCCCCCTGCTTCTTCGAGGACCACCCGTTTCTCGTTGCAACGCTTCAAGAGTCAAAGCAACGAAGGACAGGAGAAAGGGTGCAAAAATGGACCAATGGTCATCCGGCCTCAACCCTGCCCACAAAGGGGATGGTTTTGTCTCAAACATATCCCCCAACCCCCCACTCCTTCGGCCTCACAAAATTCGGGGAATTCCTTGGTGAGATAGGCACACAGATACTTCCAGTGCCAATATACCCACTATATCAACGTCAACACACCAGAGGTAATCTCTTGCTTGCGCGCCTTCACAATTCTTCATTCTTTGGGGACCCAAAGGGCTTGCACAGCAGGCCGTCCCTAAGTCTCTGAAGGCCAGGCATGAAGGCAAAGTTATGCCACACCCGCCCCAGGACGACCCCGACCCAACATCCTCGAACCGTTTCAGACTCCTCGCGATGGCATCTCTGCATTTCTTCTCCGAATCCATTTCTTCATACAATCATATTGCAAATTATTGCAACAAATGTCGTCGCATGGCTGGCCTGTGTCAACCGTGGAACTCGAAGCGCTACGCAATTACAAGTTAAAGTTCAAGCCTAGTCCAAGGCTTAGCCAAAGATCCACAACTGGAGCTCAAAATCTACAAATCATAACAAGTTCTGAAAACTGTGAGGTAACAATGTCAGAATCAGAGTAGAAGCGCGGTGACCTCTCAGGCTAGAAGAGCTTCTAAGGTAACTGTTAACTATGGCATTCTCCATCTTTGTTTTCTCACGTTATCTATTCTACTTCTCATGGTCTGCTGAGGTCTGCTCCAGCACAAAAGTCCCCTGGATGAAGCCAGGCTCGCCCTCCTGGAGCAGCGTCATGCCCTGCCCTGCAAGTACACTGAGAATGTGTCTTCGTGCAACAAGCCGGTGGTGCGGCGTGCGACTGGTGAGCCCAAGTCACCTGCAGCAGGCACGAAGCACGAGCCACACGCGCAGACCCACCTACTTGCAAATTACAAACTCGGAACTCAACTACAGGCCCCGGCACTCCATCCCCACAAATGCACACAAGTGCAACAAAAGTACACCTTTCGAAACCTTGGAACGTCTGTCTCATAATAACGGGCCTTTCATCTGGCTTTAGAAACTTTAGCCTCTTTCACCCCCAAGGGGCCAAGGGGCAAGGCCCGGGCCTCGCCCCTTCTGAGGGGCGAATTTCGTGCCTGTTTTTTAAATCCTTTAAAAGAGAGAAACTTCCAACAACGCAAAAAAAAGTGGAAAAGGTCTTGATGCATTGAGGGGTGAGTTGGTCTACCAATCCCGACTCCAAGGCAGCCCTACAACAATCAATGTATCGGATGGTCCCACTGCACCCGCCCTCTAAACACATTTGTGCTTCGGCTGGATCCGTCAACCCCATGTAAGTGCAGCTTGCAAGCCAGCGGCCAGTATGGGTTTGAGGGCATCGAGGATGATGAAGCAAGCAACCACAAACCATATACCGTTCAATGCTTGGTGTCCTTAGGAATGGCAGGCAGCAAAAACTCTCCTGCAAATCGAGGTGAGTTTAGCTGAATGAAATCCAGGGATTGGGCGCGTGGACCGTGCTGGAGAGACAGTCCGGGAAAGCGACCTTGCAAAGAACTCTGAATTGTTCCTCGCATCAACATGGGTTCTTAAAGCGGCCTCAGGCTGCCCGCCTCGTCGCCCGCCCGCAAACGCAGGCCACCCACCCGCACAGACAGAGACAGGGACAGGGACAGGGACAGGGACAGGGACAGGGACAGGGACAAAGACAGTGACCACAAGGGTAGTTTGTGAAGGAGGCTCAGAAACTCTTGGACGAGTGAGGCCAACTGTTTGTGATTAGCTGCTACTGTTGGGTGTCGGCACACAACGCCGGTATTGGAATGGTGTGGCAAGAGTTTAGCACTCTGTGCCGCTGGCTTCCGGGCGTATCCTTCCAGGGTTCTACAGGCAGGGGAACCGGCTCTGGACACTTGCCGGTTCCAGCGAAGCTACATGGGCTATACTGTTAGGGAAGAATTTGGGGACACCTGTGCTTGCGTGGTGCTGCTCGTGGGTTGTGCAACAGCAGGTTGGGGACACGCACCAAGACGCGTGACGACGACGGCGGGGCAGAACCCGCACCCCAAAAACCATTCCTGCAGTCTGGTCAAGGGCCACAACCCTGGCCCAACAACGACGAGGACGGCAGCAATGCACCATGGGCCAACTTTTTCAAGACCCTGCTGCGTCCCTGGGAGCTCTCCCAGGACTCCCAGGACCAGGGATCGGCCATCCATGCGAGGCAGATTGCGTAGACAAGCCGCCCACAAGACCATGACCTGAGTTGCCCTTAGTTTTCTTCGCATGGTCTGCCGTAGAAGTCGGATGATGTTGGCGAGGTATGGGCACGAGATGTCGACGTTCTGGTGGGTCAAGCTGAAGTGATACTGGTCGGTGTACTCGACGTTGGTGAGGTGCTGGAGTCTGCTGGAGGTGTTGTGCTCGATGGTGTTCTGTTGGATGACGTTGACGAGGCTGAGGTACAAGATGTCGACGTTCGGTTGGATCAGGTTAAAGTGCACTGGTGGATGTGCTGGATATTGATGCGTTGCCGGAAGATGTCCCCACCCGAACCAACCGACGGACCGACCGCCACCGTAGACATGCGGGGTTCTGCGGTCCTTGAAGTAACCGCCGCATCGCAACAATCACAGCCCTCATCTCAAAGCATTGCGTTCAGCAGGCTGCAATGGCTTGAATAACAACGAGGTGTCCAAAAAACTGCACCGGGCAAGACATGTTGAGTTTTACTTCTGGGGCAACGCACTGGGCAAGCACTGCAGGCTTATTAAGCTGACGACCCTGTCTCATCTGGAGCGTCGACAGCGACTTTGGCTGTCACCTGGGTCATCTGGCTGAATCAGAAGAGGCAAAACAATGTCAGAAAGCAGGCTCTCAAATGCTGAGAGAAATTCAAAGAGCAGTGTAACTCAGCACTTGGTAGCGGGCATTTTGCAACTGGACGGCCTCAGAACCTCTCAGCTGAGGGTGCGGGAACGCGCTTGAGTCGAGTACTGTCTGGGTGTGGCTATGTGTGGTGGCCTGGCAGCTGATGGCAGCTGCTTTGAGCTGCTCACTCAACTGGGCATCAGACTTGCTTGACTTGGGGCCTTCCCAAGTTCTCCAGCCTCGCCGTCTTCCCCGGCAATAGCCTTTCCAGAACCGGCAGAAGAACAGAGAATGTAACTAAGGACCGTTCCCGAGCTCCATAGTGGCTTAGCTTCTGGCTGCATCTTTGGCCCGGTCTTTGGGGCCTTCAATGCCATGTCTCCGCCGCTGCTTTATCCTGCACTCCGCATGTGCGTTTATGATCCAGTCATGCACTAGCCATGCAGAATTCGGCAGGCTTAGCTCCCAACTCACTTTCAGAAACTCCTCGCCGAATGGGTCGGGTTTCTTCGACTAGCTTCGCCTAGGGCACGCTGCCAACGTCACGTACATGGAACCGAAGAGGGTCATGCTACTCGCAGGCAAGGTTTAGGCTGTGAGGCAGAGACTCGCAAGACTTGAATAGCTGTAACACCGTAAGACAAGTGTGTGCCAGTTGCCGCACCCTATCTTGGCACCCGAAGGCCCTAAGGGCAAGGCAGGTCAAACGGCCAGCCGTGTGCAAACTAGCCCAACTAGCTATTTCATTCGACGAATCTACGATGCAAACGTGCGACTGACATCCGCAATGCAACAAATCGACAATTGGCTCTCCCTAGTCTCTCGCATCATCTCGCATTCCATCATGTAGCGCCACTGTGACTTTTTTCCCCATCTGTCGCCGCAGTTGCCACAACCCGGAGAATGAAACATGCCTGCAAGTGCCACTCCTTGTGTGAGCTCTCCTCGGCACGCTTGCACGGATAGATTCATATTAATGTTGCATGCCCACAAGAATCAATGCCATGAGTGGTGCATGCCCCCCCAGCATCTTCAAGCGAAAGTTGCCAACCATATCACGCGTTGCTCACGGACAAAGCCCGACAAGGCTCAAAGGAAGCAATGCAGTTGGTGCGGAAAGAGTAGCCCTCCTGAGTTGTCAACTAGACTTGCTTTCGTCTTGGCCATTATTGCTGCTTCAGTTCCAGCTATGAGCAATGATTCTTGGGAACCCAAACCAGCTGGAAGCCGGGTCTGAATGAGCCACCACCTTCCTTGAACCTGATAACGGTTGCAACTCCCGGCCTGCTCATAGCCCTTGTAGAAGCCGTAGTCTGCATGCACACCAGAGCGCAAGTAGCCATCTCAGTTCAAGGGCAGAAGCTCATGAGCAGGGCGCCCTGTCTCTTCTACCGACAGCTGCCGAAGCAAACATGCAAAGCTATTGTGGTGCAGAAAGGTGAAGTGCGACGTAGCTCTTGGCGAGACTCCGGGCAATGCATCCTCCAAGGACTTCGCTCCATCCTTTGACAACGCTGATGCCACGAGCTCATGGCAGTCCTGCAGCTGGACTGGCGCTATGACCATCAAAACCGATGCCCAAGTCTCCATCTGCTTGAGAAGTCCCACCCGTCCCGGTGTGCCTGCCCATAGAGTCGGGCATCGGAACCACCATCGCAGCGGCCCCACAAACCAAGGACCAAAAGCGTCCCGATGTCTGCAGAAGCCTGCCAAAGTACTGCCTACACACAAGTGCTACTTTGTCTCATGCTGTCTGGTCGCTGCCCAGCCTTGGCATTCATCAGGAATGAAAATGCCAGCTCTCCACTGGCAGACAGCTTTCCGCCATCATCACGCTGTTCTTGCGCTGATACTGCTGGGAAATTGAAGACAATCATGGAGTAGTTTGCGCAATTCACCTGTCTGCGGGGCTGTACCGAACCAGCCTTCTTATAATCATAATGACGCGCGCCTGCCGCGCGTCCACTCCGAAGCGAACCGTGTGTCCCAGCTCCCTCAGCGCTTCCACAATGTCGTGGTGATTCGGGAAGCGTTCCTGCCAAAGATCCTCTGCCAGCCTGGTACGACAAAAGGGTCGCGTCTACAATCCAGTCATGGCGCAGGCTGCAACTTGCACGAAGCCATTTACGAATTCAAGAGACACTACAGTGGCATCCAGCTTTGACTCTGTGTGGATAGTGGCCGCAGCAGCAGCAAATGTGAAGTCACCTGAAGCTGCTCTTCAAGCTGCGCTCTGAAATTGGGGGAGAAAAGAAAGAAGTCCAGCAAAGGCCACGATTGAAGAGCCAGCTGCGCAATTGAGGCCTTTGCCTTCGCCCAGCAGCAGAACTGACCCTGTCCAGGCCGAGGAGACCAACTCCTGGCCCAAAGAACAGCAGCTTGCCTCAGATTGCACATTTCCACTTAGAGCGTGCAGGGGCACTTGCCTAAAAAATGAGCCCTCCCTTCTAAACCAACCCCCAACCTGAGGCATACTCAAACCCCTGCCATCTGACTTTAGCCACCGAGCTGGCAAATTCTCAGGTGGTGGGCCAGCCAGAGAAAGCTTGCGGACCTGTGGGCGCCCGCCAATCTGTCCAAGCCTTTCCGCCGGCAAGCAGCATCTCAGAAGCAACGAACACTGCTCGGTTCATGATCTCAGATTAACTGCGGTCTTGGAGCCTTATACCAAAGGTCACCGGCTGGCCCAATGAGCACTCACTCAGCAATGGAAGGTCAGCGTACACATCACAGCCGAAGAGGTCCAAGGTCTCCTGTGTGACTTCTCGACAAAGAAGCAGCAAGCCACGGTGTGATCTAAACAGGTTTGGGAGATACGTCAGACGCCAGCCACTCCACAAGCCTCCGCATCTTGCAACAATATGTATATATATATATATATGTAGACATATATATATATTATAATATATATATATATATATATTATAACTAAAAGTAGAAAAATATTTATGTATACATCGATTTCTGTGTTTTAAGATATTTATTCATTTACTTATTTATGCATGATGTACATTCGGGCTTTGCAGGTGCTCCTGGCACTCGATGAAGCCATAACCCTTCTCTTCCGACATATACTTCACAGTGCCTTGAAACTCCACGTCCTGCGGCAAAGAAAGCAGCACCCACAAACAGAGATGCTGCAGCATCTGCCGCGACGTTCATGAGGGCGGATGAAGACGAAAGACATGTTGCGTAAATAGAAACATGCTTTGGAATCATGATAATAGTTCTGGCACACCCTGGCGGCATCATGTCCTTCCCCAAGATGTGTGGAGACAATATGGAGTCCTAATGTTCCTAGGGTACGTAAAGATACTCAAGAGGAATAGGTCTGTGCGAGCGTGCAAGGCTCTCGTCCAGGTGTGTCCCATGTCGGGACCCAGCCGATCTTGCGCCCAGGCCCCGCCATGTGTACATGGATTTTTGACTCATCGTTTTCCTTCCTGCTGGGCAGGCACTTGGACAGGTTCGCTTCGTGGCGTCCGTTCTGCGGGTGTGTGCACCCGCTCAGTCACGCGGGCACGATCCGCGTGCCCAACTTGGGCTTGGACATCGTGCTCGCTCCTCGGTTTCGTAGCTTTGGGATGCATTCGCGCTCCCACCAGCGCATGCTCTGCGCAGAGTGCACTTGTGATGTGTGCACGGTGGTCTTACACTGCGTACATCGGCAAAGTCTTGAGTAGAATAAGAACAGAGACTAGCTCAAAAGGATTTCCCAGTGGTACGTACTCGGAATGATACGAGGGTCCAGAACCCAACTGAACTCATGAGATGATGTGCAGTACTGCAGGGGTCGGGCCTCAAGGTTGGAAGTAGCGGATGACCATCCTTCTTTAACCCATGTGCCATGTAACACGACATGCGGCCCTGCAGCATTGCTCCTCGTATTCGCTACTGCCCTCGGACGGCAGCACTTTGCTCGCGTTCGGCTGCCCGCTCTCGTTTAAGCACACGATGAACGTCACCTGATTGGCTGCAGCAGAGTGGCCGCGAAAGCCGGCACAAATGTTGTCTTGGGTCTTGGGGGCGGAATTCCAGCATCCCTCTTCAAATTCCAAACAATACTGTCCTTGTCCTGCACGAAGCTTAAGAGTGTGGAATCTGGGGGGGTCATGAAGGCAGCAGCATGAGTTTGGTTTCTTCAAGTTGGCTCAGGGATCCTCACAGCGTCTCAGGTGGTCTTGTGAAGCAGGTTGAAGGGCAGTGGGGTCCCCAGACTAGAAAGTCCTGATAGGGCCGAGGTCTTTTCGGGGCTTGGTGCAACTTTGACTAGAGATACTACGGCACAGTACCACAAGCATCTTCGTTGTTGCTTTGCACTTGACGCTGAGCCGATCACTGACACTCCACTGCTCGCGCTCGTGCCTGCAAGCTGTCATCTGAAACTCCAGCATTGGGACATTGGACTCAGCTGCCCTAGCCTTTGCGAAAAGCTCCGTCAAGGACTTGCTTGCTAACATACCTGATGATGCAGCTGGCGGTAAACACGACCAGCTGACACGGCAGAACAGCAGCTTACACGACTCACAACAAGTAATCATCGACTACAAACATACTTCTTAACAGCATGGTTAATTAGCACTGAGGAATGCTCTGAATGGTCTGTGCTGCTATCACTCGGTACCTGGTACCTGTATGATTATTGATTTGGCCGGGAGACACATCACGTCCAAAAGCAGCAGCTGTTTCTGCGCAGGAAATGAACCCGTAGTCGACTCCTTTTTCAAAGGCATTTCTGCCATGAACGTCACTTCATCGGCGACCATGCACTTCAATTCCACGTGCATCCGATACTCACAACCCACTTGCATCATGAAATCGCCAGCACCAATCTCAAGGCCCCCCGCTCCCCCGCAAGCGCTCCTATTGACTTGACCACACCTTTCAGGCGTCGCGGTGCTTCGCAAGATGAACAGGATGTTACTCGGCTGGCTTCGTTCTCCACTCCACATGCCGCACAAGTCCTGGTCACAACCGGTGCAGTCCTGTATGCCACGCTACAACAACTAATTGGTGGCCATTGCATGCCATGGATTGCAATTGCGGATGCCGGCAAGACAACACACCGTGACCACTGTCTGCGACGACGACCATGCACAGGTTCACCATGTCTTGGAAAAGTTTCAAGCTGTGGCTTCCAACCAGAAGCTACAAGCAGAATTCAGGGCGGATTGAACTTGAGAGTCTGTTCGGTCCGTTCACGGTGAACGTGGCGCCACGTGATGCCGACAAATACTGCTGGCTGGTCAGCATGGAAACATGGAATGGTGAAAACGCATGGCAAGTCAGCGCTTGTAGCAACAACCCGGTTTGCAATCATTCGTGTGAGCATGTATGCAGAGTTGTGACGCACTATGACGATTGCAAAGCATAACTAACTTTTGTCTAACAGAGCAGGTGTATCAGCGGCGATGGCGAGTTTTCAAAAGGTAAAAAAACGAAAAGGCTCAGCCCACACGGCTTTTCGGCACGTGCAACGGAAAATTGACAAGCCGTTGCACGTGTGTTGTCAAGGCAAGGCCGACCGACTCACGGAGGCGCGAGGCCTTACAGGGAGCTTTAACTAACCTTAACTGCCCAGCAAAGAAAACTCGGCTGGTTAGTTGCGAATGTGCCTGGGCCCGAGCTGGACACCAGACCGGCCAACAGAGAAGCACGGAACAATGGGAACACAGAAGATGCGTTGCAGGTAGGCATGGTAGGCCATAGTTTTGTGGCATGAGGTGCAACTCAGATGCACCTGGTGGGCTTGACACGAGTATCCCACGTATACTAATGTGGGAGGAGCTCCGACGCGTACTGAGTGCACTCCACAATACATGCTCATGTGGCACAATAGGCCAAGTCGCCATTTCTCCTGCACTGGCGCTGGCGCAAGCTCCTGAAACATGCAATGCAAAGCTGGACCCCACAACAATGTTCCGCTGAAGCGACACAAGGTGGCAACATTCGTGTGCGCTTCTTGTTGTGTTGTTTGTGCTGTGCTGTGTTTGTCTGTGTGTGTGTGTGTGTTTGGCTTTTTCCTCTGCTTGTCTCGTGTTCGACCTCCAAAACCAAGCCTGCAAATTTCAAAGCTTAGCCCCGAATGCCCGGCAAAACTTGCTTTGCCCCTCCAAATAAATACACTGACGCCATTTCGCAGCCTCCACGCCCCACTTGCAGTGTTAAAAACGCAGGCATTGCATGCTGATGCGCATGTGCCCACCTCGGGGCAGGGGAGGGGAGCGCAGCCCTTTCTTTGGCTCTATCCAGTCGTTCATTCCCTCTTGCCTCTGTAGTGAGGCTTCCAACAGCTGGAACACTGCTGAAACCGCAAATTTGACAATTCAGTTTCTAGTGCTTCCTAACAACTGGGGACAGCTGTGGCAGCTGTGCTGCCAGAATAGCTTAAGTCTGCTGTAGAGAACCACAGCAACAAACACGAAAACAATGCCACCAAAACGCAACGCACTGATGCAGACAGTGCAGGCACATCCTCCGCACGTTCGGTTCGCGGTGCTTTGCACCCCAAGCGCCCAACACCCCCGCACACGTCGTTGCCGGCCTGCAAGTAGCCAGATACATCCCCAGTGAAGCTGGGACACTGTATGCAGAAAGCGTGCGCGCAAACAGGTAGTTGCAAGGTTGCTGTCGGATCTTGAAGTACCCGGGTGCCTGGTTTCTCCACCCACAGCCTGGCGGGATGCCCATCACCGGAGTGGGACTTAGAAAGACATGTCACCATATGTCACCCTACATGCTCCACACCAACACGGCTGGAGGGCCTACTGCGCAAGGGTACGGTAATGTTCGGTGTGGACAGGTCTCGTTTATCGAGGTTCATGCTCGGTCTCATCAGCACTTAAGTTGTTGATTCAAGCCTCTGCCGAATCGGAGCCTTGACTCTTCCACTCTTCCGCTTGGAGTTGGAAAAATCAGACAAAGCATGACTCGCTGCATGTTGGACCATTGGACCGAGGCTTGTGGTTGAGGGTCTGGAGATCTTTGGAGGATTTGCAGCACAGTCGTCATAAACACTTGCGAGACCGACAATGACAAGGATGAGAATACAACGATGAGAATACGTCAGAGTCAGAATTGAAGAGGGTAACGATATGTAACGACGAAGATCAACATCCTAACCATTCCCAACAATGGAGCAGAGAGGCTGCCACAAACCCAGGCTCCACCATGCAGGGCAGAAGAAGACTGGGATCCTTAGTGACTCGAAGGGACTTTCGCAGGGCAACATGCGTCTTGCACAAGTGATGCCGACAGCCGAGGGTCCCGAGCCAAAGACTTTCTCCAGTTCCTCTTTGGCCATAGCAGAAGCTTGTACATGCTTCTCTGGTCTGGCAGCTCCACACCCTTTATCACCATCACCACCGCAGCGCCAGTTCGCTGCGCGATTGCGGAACCCGCACGTGCAAAGCCAAACGCCTGGCTGCATCAAGGGATTTGCAGATCCGCCGTAACCTTCAGACGTCATGCTTCCAGCATCTCTCTCCTCGAATGATATGTCAGAAACGTTGCCATCCCGCTGTGGGGATGTGCCAGCGCCACGGGGTCGTGGGAAACCGCAGCCAAGATGACCGGTGCCGCCGCAGGTCGCATTAGACCCACGATTCCGAAATCCACAATGGCAAGTCCAGTCCTGCATCTCCTGATTCTGTGCACTTTGCTGTGCACTTTGCTGTGCACTTTGCGCACTTTGGGAGTGCTCGGGCTGGGAATCGGCCGTCTCGGTCGCCTCGGCCGCCTCGGCAGGCTTCAGCCACTCCATTGGAGACTCTTTCCGTGGTTCCTTCTGCAGGAGGCTCAGTAGCTTTAGCTCCAAGTCATCTGGAGGCGAATCTGCTAGCACTTGCTGCGCTGGACTTGCGAGCGCCTCCTCATGAACATCTAGCTGCGAAGTTGCTGGGAGGTCGTTCTGTGGTCGAGGCTTCTTGCAGCCCAGCTTGCCAAAGCCACCACACACATCATTGGAGTCACGGTTGCGAAAGCCGCACTCGCACACCCAGAGTTGATGCATCGCGGTCAAGCATTCAGCTTCGGTCAAGCTGTCTCTGGCATCAAAGCACACGGCCGTGGCCACTGAATTCAAGTTGAATCTTTCAACATGTCTCTTGAGCCGACAGGGTGCCCCAACAGCTTAGCTTTGGAGCTCAGCCTCTGAAGTCCACGCGTCGGTCGCAAGTTGTGCATGTTCAACAAAGCAAGAGCACAGACAAGAAAGAAGACCGCCACACCGGCAAGGCCCGACCCGTCTCCCCGGGTGCGAGCGGTGAGGAGACAAGGTGCGATGCACTTCGCAGGGAGGCCACAGCCCAAGGATGGCGAAGTTCAACGAATGAAGGAAGACGACGTTCAACATGTATATACACAATCAAAATTTGAAAAAATATATATATATATATACTAACACAGAATTCGTTCAGACATACCGGAGACTCCCATCAAAGAACTTGACCGACGCTGCCACAAGCCTGGCAACCCCACGGGTGACTGCAGCAAGATAAAGGTGTAGACAAGGCGAGGCAGCTTTCTGGAACCCCATGCCAGTCGCACGTCAAGGGACACAGGAGCGACTCTAAGGGACACCCGAGAGTCACAAGAATTTTTTGGGAAATCCAAAAGGCCGCCGGCACCTGAACTACGGGAGGCACCAGCACTTCAACGACGCACGAGTTACGAGCATTTGGCGCATGAGGAAACATCGGAGGCGAGCAGAGAGACCCCTGGCAGACACACCACTCCGCCTACGCATATCGGCATCCTGCTTTACAAACACACGCCTTCCATGTCCGGCTAGCGTGCGTGTGTGCATGCGTGCGCGAGCCGCGCACAGTCTGCGCGCGTCATTCGTACGTGCGTGACCGCACGCTGTCTGCATGCGTGTGCGTGATCGTGCGCGACCGTGCGATCGTGCGATCGTGCGATCGTGCGATCGTGCGTGCGTGCGTGCGTGCGTGCGTGCGTGCGTGCGTGCGTGCGTGCGTGCGTGCGTGCGTGTGTGTGTGTGTGTGTGTGTGCGTGTGTTACTAAGAGTATTTGGGCCAAGAAGATGACCAGTGCCAAAGAAGCTGGTCATCCTGCAACATTCCTGGATTGGCCATCCAGGTCCAGGTGTGCCTGCAAAGGTGATGAAACGGAATATGCAACGAGCATCGTTGCTGCACATTGTTCCACACTTGCTGTTTCATAGCATCATCTAGTACTAGAGGTTACTTGAAGCTTAATGATTTATGTTGAGGTCTGACTGATTCGCAATAGAGCGATTGTCGAAACTCAATAATGTGTTGTTCGTTATTGAGCGAAATTTTGCCGACGTTCAATACTACACTAGTTCGGAATGAAAAAATCACTTCGCTTCCCCCTCCCCTCGCCCCGCCCCAGTATAAGATCCGAAACTTAACGCCGCCGACCTTCAAGGTTGCATTCAAAGCTCTCAACCTTTATGAACCTTGAAAGCTTCAAGAAATGACGCTTTTCAGGATTTGCAGGCTACAGACCCAAGATCTCCAGTACTTCAAGGTTGAGACTAATAACATTGAAAAGTGGCTCGGAAGCTCCAGAGTGAAGCTTTGAAACCTTGAGGGCTAAAGACTACAGCCCCAAGATCCGAAACCTAAAGCCTTCAACCTCAGCACAAAGCTCCTTGTCTGTTATACAAATTGTAATATGTTATGATTTGTTGAGACCTGACGTCTTGAAGGCTTTGCTTACATGAAGGAGGCCCAGAAGAAGCCCAAAAGAGGCCGTCCAGCCGCAAACAAGTTTGACCCCGCCTCCCAAACAAGTTTTCCCAAACTTGGTTCACGGAGTCCCAAACGCTTCAATACTTGCCCGTTACCAAGTTGTTTGGGAGGGGGGGATTGATTTAATCAGAACCTGCAATAATGTTTGCTGGCGACAAGGCAGCATGTGTATTTCAGAGTGGATGCACGTGTGTGTGAGCGTGTGGGCGTGTGAGTGTGTGAGTGTGTGAGCGTTTGAGTGTGTGATTGTGTGATCGTGTAATTGATTGTGGGCGCACGTCTCCTGTCAGGAGCCAGAAGCGAGAACAGCTGGACTCGCCATGGGCTGCAGCCACCCCTAGTCGACAGAGATCAGCCTTTTTCATGCATAGACGCTTTGGCACAGCCGCATAGCACGTATGAATCAAAACAAGTGTACACCGATTCATGTCAGACATAGACGAGAGGAAAGCTGGATAACGCCGGTAAGCAGACACATGATAGAAAAGACAAACAAGTAAGATCAAATTGATAACGAAGATGACATTGCGAGATGTCGCCATGCAAAGTGGGAGAATGATGCAAGATCTGCAAGATGTATCGAACGCATCGCATCTCTTTCTTCGGTCTCCGGAATATAGCAAACATGCACCGGGAACCGATGTTTCATGGGTATATGTGGTCATGGAGATGCTCCAGGCGGTTGGATGCCAGGTACCCAAACTAAACTTATGCAATCCATCCATCGCGTCCAAGGCAATCTCAAGAGTTCTCTTCACCTGGGCACGCTGACAGTTTGTACGACTCAACCAGTTCTCAAGCAAAGACACAGCAGTAAGCCCATGGCCGAAACCAGACACAGGTTGTGCCAGAAAGCGTGCCTGAAGAGCGTGTGGATTGGGGGTGAGGGCGCTGCACCTACTACTTTTCTTACTACTTTTCTTGGTAGTACTACAGGTCACGCCTTCGTAACGGGCGGAATGCTTTTCTTTACGATGTCGAAAACACTGGCAGGCGTGGTAAACTTCAGCATGCGGGGGCTGGGGGGGGGGGGTCACAGACCCCTTTTTCTGAAACGAGATTTTGCTGCTTTGTGTGTCTTTCTCCAAAAACGCGTTCTCGTTTGGGTGTTTTTGTATTCAGGCTTCGTAAAATTTGCGTCTTGCGGTCGAAAATTTAGCTTCTGAAGAGGCTATCGCTCTGCTACTCTACTACTACGACGACTACGACTATGACTACTATACTTCTTCTACTACTACTACTACTACTACTACTACTACTACCACTACTACTACCACTACCCACTGCCACTACCACTGTATACCACCAGCACCACTACCACTACGACAACGACTGCTACTACCCACTTCTCCTACTCCTGCACCTGCTGCTGCTGAGACTAAGTACTAGCCTTACTAGCACTACATGTACCACACGCACCACCAGTCTGCTAGTACTGCTTACATGGCGAATTTTGTTTGCTGCGGGTGCATGACATGAAGTCATCGCAGAAGGCGCTGCGAACTTTAAGTAGCGTTTTGCTGGCTCTCTCGGCACATGTTGCACAGCAGCCAGGCTGCAAACTTCTGTCCTCCCCGTCGCAAAGAAGTGTAGAAGGGGTTGCTGTCCTGTCAAAGCTGGACTTACATCCCAGGGTTTACTTCCTTCAAGCTTGCCCAAGGTGCTTTAAACCGACCATGCCTTCTCAGACTGGAACTTGACAATTGACTGTCGACTTGAAAACAAATGAGATTATGCTGCGTCCCGCCATCTACTATGTCACCGCAGACATCGACCCAGGACAGGTAAGACAGGTATGCAATTCACCTCTCAAATCAAAAGCCAAAGCTTCGGGATCTCTGAGCGGAAGTGGCAAGTAGAGAGCCAGATGGGCCAGCAAGATAACCATGAGCATCGCAACCGCTGTCCAATCATTCAGCGAGGCCTCAGTTCAGCTCCAAATGCCAGCGCATCTGTTTTCACGAGTTACATGTGCAATGCAACCGACAAACGCTTCCACAGCGAATCAAGAAACAAGGCACAGAACTTGCAGCCGCCACAGCCAGGTGCAGCATCACCGTTGGCACGGATGTCAGCCTTAACTTCAAGATCATGATCATGCCTTTTACTTTGCACAAGGGGACGGTCCAGACGGACGTACTTGTAAGTGGCGGCAATAAGCGTTTCTGAAGCTTCACCTTTCTGCTCAGCCACAGTGATCCGTGGGACGACAATAGCAGCCCCAGCGAAAACATCAGCAAAGGCCTGGCACAGCGTTCCGTCAACTTTTGCTGCTCGTCCGTCGGGGTTGTTAGATTTCTAAAGGCATGACAGGACATGTAGACATGCGCTGGTTGGTAGCAAATGTCAGGCGTCGTGCGCAGAGGGCAAACCTATGAAAAATGATTTGAAGCAGGGTTTATATTTCTTGTCCCCCCAAAAGGACACCAGGTATATACACTCACCAATATTAAAAAGGAACCTTCTATACACTCACCAATAAGAGAAATATAAACCCTGCTTCATTTATCTCTGTACAAGTTGCTGGTTACGGTCGCTGCAGAAGGTTTTAAGCTCGAAGCACTAGTGCAGCTTGAGAGCAGAGCAGTGATGGACACTGCTAGCATCTCCACTCCAGAATGCCAACTCACCTTGCAACATCTTGCTGCCCTAGGAAACTGTAACCGGCTTAGCACGTCGCCGCAACTGAAATTGACAGGCTTCAGGAGCCAAGTGAAATACAACAATCTGTGCCACACAGCAAAATCGTACGTTCAACATGTCACACTGTCGCAATGCGAGAAGAAACGAGAGATGATTTAGCTTGGACTCTCGCAACGATGTTGACACGCACTTCTGAGACGAATGCTTATGCTGTCGGTTCTGGATGAAAGGGCTGCAACTTGCCTCCTTGATTTGACCGAGGTGATGCCCAAAACCACAGTCAGACGGACCAACAAAGAGCAACCATGAGCAATCGGACCCCGACCGAACACGTACAATCCCCAAGCCAAACGTGCACTTGCGAAAACAGCCACGGCAAGTGCAGGCAGATCAAAGATGCGAGAAAATCACTGGCAGGTCTTGCAGGACACGCGACCCACACACACACACACACACCCTGGCAGATGGAACCTGGGAAGCCAAACGAGGCATGTCCTGCAACAGCTCCAACCAGGGAGCGAACGGCTCTCTCAGCGGAGGCTCACAAGCAGCGCAGCCCGATGCTACTTACCCTCGGCCATGAAAGTGCTGGTCGCATTTTCTTGCTATTCTTAGCTTAGCAAGTCTTGCCCGCGAGCCAACCAGAACGCTCTCATGATTAGAGCAGAGTTGTAGATTGGGCCACAATTTATTTCTTTATTCTTTGCTTGGACCGCAGTCAACTGCAGCATTTCACAGCAGCTACGGCAGCTTGCCAAAGTCTTCATGTCTGGTCCTGCGTAGTGGCTCGGCCCGTGTTTAGTTTTCTGCTGTGCGAGGGCGTGGACCACTGTTCAGGGCAAAGTACGGTGCCCCGCGGTGCCATAGGACTGGTCTCACACAGCTTCGCACAGTCGAATCTTCAAAATGGTGATCAAATCTGAATAACAACCATCATGGAATCAACAAGCCGAACGGCCTTTCTGGCCTGCCACACGGCAAGCAGAACGCCAGCCATCCCATCCAGGATGACAAGCCCACGTCCAAGGACAGCATCTGGGCCCTGGAACTTACTCTCCGGCCATGCTTTGAGATGCGCTGTTCCTTTATGTTCCTTTTCTTCCTTTCTTTTTGTGCATTGCAATTTTGCAAGCCTGCCTTTGGCTCCGGCGTGTGCCCCGCAGGCCCAGCGGGGCAGGCCCAGGCCATAGCTGCAGCCAGAAGTCCGCAGAGGGCACCCACCACCAGCGCCGAGGTCTGCTCACCAAGTTGCACACGATCAGCAGCAAGAAATGAAAACAAAAGCCCGGAAACTTCTACAAGGTAGTGGGTGGGGCACCTTTGCCGTATACTGCACAAAAATGGATGACACAACCGCAGTGTATCGCAGACATGCTTGAGCTGAACCTACGACCACACGCTCATGCATCTTACAAAACCTTGCGAAGACAGGTTCTGCGCCTGCACAAAGCCAAAGGCCAGGATTGCCAGCACTACGACCCAAGCCAAGTACCAGGGCTTCCGCCAGGCCGGCCACTCGCCATTCGGTGCCGATCTGCTGCCAAAGGACATGTACGGATTATTTGGGGCCACTGGACATAGTATACAAGGTGCTCACTAGATAGGCATGACAGGAATACAATCGCTATGCAGATTCAAGAGGGCATGAGCGCGGGCGGGGACCTTAGTTTTTGCAAAAAGGCTTACTGAATTGGCAGGGCAATGCCGCACAGCATGGCATGCGTAGAGACAAGGGCATGGGCATTTGCAACTGTGCCTGTTAAGTGGTCTGATAGCTTATGCGCGCGCAGGTAAAGAAGAAAGAATACCATCAAAGAAGCGGAGAGAGACAGATAGAGAGGAAACAAATAAGATGCATGAAGCAGCAAGGAAAGGAGGGCGAGTCATATGTATATATAGAATACGCAACTACTCATGATTTGATATCTAGTCCTATGTATGTCATATGTCATGCATACTCGTAGGTCTTGCGGCAGCACAAAGCGGGCACCCCACCTCTAATCCCGCCAACACCCGCTGCGCAGATTGCACCCCTTTATTTGGCACTGTTTTGGCTGGATTGGTTCCCCCCCCCTAGCCAACAGGTCACTTGCTGCGTGACTTTCTTCCCCTTCCAACTACCCCCTCGCCCTTGATGGCGCTGTCTCTCGCATGTACTCCGTCTTGTTTGGACTGGAAAGGCTTTGTTCCGGGCACCGCCCAAACCCAGTTGTGCTTGCTTGTTTTGCCACTCCGACATTTGGCGTGTTACAACAGGGTCCCCCAAACAGAATGATTGCACGAAGCCTCTCAAAGCGAGGGAAGCCTAACAGCACCTTTTCACCCGCGCTCGGCAGGCCCCGATACTAGAACTTCACATCTCAGTTTTTCAGCACAGGATTTCTTGACTATCTTAACTAACAGCGATTTTCGGCTTACATTCTAATGAACACCATGCAATGCACCTGGAGAGTGACCCGCAAAGCTGTCCGCATGAAAGGAGGACGACGGAGCCATCCTCTATGCCAGCGAGCAAGCCCTGCTTGGGGACCAGCTCGGCAAAGCCAAGAAACCAGATCAGTGCCAGAATCCAAAGATGCCATGATAGAAGAAGCATGACAAAATCTGCCGTCTGCACGGCCTCCATCCTCAGCTACAAAGACTCTGGCGGTCAATTATTGTCAGTCGGTCATTCCCGGATCGTTCCCGCCTACTGCTGCTGGGTCAAGAGACAAAAGACTACACATGTTCACGTCCATGCCTTTGAATCATGGCATGCGGCCGCCGACGCTGGCGAAGGATATCCTTGCAGGCACTGTACTGCAGAGAGGTCAAGTCACAACTATCTAGCTGCACTGATTTTCAGGTCGTCTGCCTGCGCTCGACATACCCTATCCCTTTCTCTTTGCAATAACAGTCACTTTGGTACATGTTTCGGCTCTAACCCGAACCCAATAGTTTGACATTCCCTTGAAAAGCTCAAAAGCCATCCGCCCGCCTCCCCCTCCCCCACGCCCCTGAAGGAGCCATACCCACATACCCCGAATTCTCCCTTGGTTCTTCAATCTCGAGATTCAGCAACAGTTGTCGCGAGTGCTCTAGCCTGCAGCTATCTGCAACTGCCGACACAGGCAACACACAGCTCAGCTGTTGTTTCAGACTCTGCCTCGTCGCTGCGCTCTGCATTGGTGGTGCTGCGCTGCGGCTTGCGCGGCATGAGCTATCGCGAGAACCAAGGGACGTTCTGAGGGTTCTGAAGTATCGGCTGTGAGTAGCTGGCCTTCGATGGGGTTAGCTTTTTTCGGCTGCGACGACAACTGGCAAGAGTTTTGATGCTGCATGCTGCCACAGTGATGATTCTCACGAAAACGGACAACTCATGGGGATGAAAGCTGAGGCTTGGACCCGCTTCTGTCTAGACTCCTTCAGCGAGTTAGAAAGAAGCTGTCCCGGAGCACTATGGTGGTTGGTTTCGTCCTTGTCCTTCTGGGTGCGCTCGTCACTTGTTGAAGCAAAGTTCAGCACCTCACGTTTCATGTCAGCTCCGCCCCGTGGAAAGCTTCGCACTAACACCCCAGGTTGTCTGGGAGGATGAACTGGCTGTAAGAGTTCCCCTGATGGTACTGACACGCACTCCGCCTGCTTCATTTGTGTCAACGAAACCGAATGGTGCATCCAGCTCACACCAGCACAAAGAAACCGCCAACATGCCTTACAATTCGCTGCCGGAGTCCTTCACAAGCACTAACTACATGAGGCCCCAAATCTTGGCGAAGTGCCAATCTTGAAGATACTGAAGGACAAACAGTCTTGGCAAAGTGCCGGAAGACAACACTACAGCTTTCTGAGAGGAGCGCAGCCAACAGCACCAGCACACCGGCCTGTGTGACTGGCCTAGCATACCAGATCGGCAAAACACTCCCGCCCGGCCCGAGTCCCCCTGCAAGACTGGACAGCTTGAAGCGCGCAACGTGCGCGGTGAGTGTACTTACGGTTTGTCTTGTCGTGCTGAATGTGCCGCACCGAACATGCAGCAGAAATGTGAGGCCAGCCCGAGCTCAGCTTGCTGCCAAGAGAAGGGTAGCGCGTGTGTAAGCAGCGCGTACCCGTACCTCCATGGCGGGTTGTGAGGCATCGGATGTGGGCAGCTGGCCTCTGGGCTCCAGGCGTTGCGAGAGTTGACAGAATGTGCGACCTTGCGGTAGCACAAGGTCGCAAAGTCGTTGCTTGTGCGAAGTGTTGCAAGGCCAGGGTCCGTCTCATGCCGTCACAACAGTCAAACCAAGCATGTTCTGAATTCAGCAGCAACTCGGCTGACGGCTAGATTCGGCTAGATATACGGCTATGTTTTCGAGCTCTATCCAGTCCACTCGATCACTTCCCGTGGCCGAGAACTTGACACATTCTTCACCAGCGCTGAACATCTCTTCACCAGTAGGCCCGCAATCCATCCGTGAAGAAGCCTGAACGTGCTGAGGCGCACATTTCCGATTTTCATGCAGCATTTCGCATCAGCACGTCACTTCCCATGGGGCGCGGCTCTGTCAAAACATGTCAAACCCCTTTCCATCTCAGTGCTTGGACAGGCACCATACGAGAACAACCGGCAGCTGTCTCTTCCAGTCGTTGAACCTCGTGTGTAACAACTTGTTTGCAATATGAACACTACAACTCGCGCTTTTGTCGATGGATTCGTTGACCAGGCGTGCTGCTGGTCCCAGGAGCACGAGTCGCTGTTTTTGTCGGTGCTCTCCTGACATCCACGCGTGAAAAACATACTCACAACACATCTCATCACCGAGAACTTTAAGTCTGCATGGGCAGTGCGGCAAGGTGTAAGGTCGAACGAGAAGATACTTGTACGAGAAGAGCTTCCTAGGCTAGCCCATCTTCGCCGTGACTCCAACCTCATGGCTGCCTTGGGCCTTGGGTCGTACATATCGTGTTTCTCCGGTGCTAACTTTAACCAACCACTCGTGCACGGGAGGGCTGTCCATCACTCCGCTGGTGATTGGAGTTTGCTACCGAACGCCTTGCGCCACTTGCTCGATAGCCGATTCTCTTGTCTCAGGTTTGCCTACCATCGCTCTCTTTTTTTTACTGTGAGTGCGGAGGCTGGCAGGTGGCCTCCATTTGCCTGAATGCCATTGCAAACCTTGCTACCGAAAGCAACCATTGACACGGCTAAGTGTCACTGAAGTTTGGCGGGTTCCTCCACTGTGCACGCCTTCCTAAAGTGACTCCCTTCTTCTCAATCCATTCTTGCTAGATTGACACGGGCTTCGTCTTTTCCCTGCTGGCCGAACATGATCGTGCGATACGAATCCCTGATAATCTATCTGCCGACAGCGGCGACACAGCAATCTGCCTCGTTCGAGAAATTGTTGACCACACCCAGCACCGCGAGCATCAGCTCCCCTATCATGAGGTTCGTTTTGAGGATGTAAAAGGGCCTGCGGAACACATGCTTTGCCCAAGCTCGCATCTGATGTAAGCACGCGACCGGAAACTGAGAGCGACGCTCTTCAGGCCACTTCTTTAAGAACTTCTCCGCAAATATGGATGCCTCGCAGCTGATGCGGCCGGGCAGATCGAATTTAAGAGGCAACGCATGCGCACTCAACAAGCAAATGCTTGTCCCTGTCTCGTCATGGATGTAAGGAAGGGCGCACTCAACAAGCAACTGCTTGTCCCTGTCTCGTCATGGATGTAAGGAAGGCGCAGAGCAGGAAATTGCAATTCCTAACCTCAGGGACTCTTTGGCCCGCATTGAGAGAAGACGAGCAGGAAATTTCTTGAATAGGTCTTTCCCACCTTTCGTGGGGATCTAAGGGCTTATGCTCGTATTGCTCGTAGCTCGTCTGCGAACATCCACACATGTCTTATATGCAGGCGAAAGACAAGAAGTAGAACATGCCCAGCACTTTCGGCGCTATCCTGCGGAAACAACAGGGATTGGCACAACACTTGCGTAGACAACTGCAGAGGCCTTGAACGCAAGCGGGCCACACAATAAACAACCGCTGTGGCTTGGTCATCGCCACATCGAACCCTGATGATCTTGCAATGGCCCGTTGAGAAATATGTGTACATGAATGAGCTCGCGCACGCACACACACACACACAACGCACCAACCTCGAATTGTCAAGAACATCCAAACATACCAAAACCCAAGAATCCAAAGTCTTCTGGGAGAGTGTCCGGGGACTAAGTTTGAATTCTTGGATTATTGTGTTTTGAGATTTCCGGAGTTGTGCCTAAACAAAAATTAGGAAGAAAGTGACAGCAGAAATTGCACTCGACTTCGCTCTCTGGGATCACACTTGAGGTGCAGGGCCGGGCGGGCACAAGCACAGTTGCACAGCGGACAACACGGGAAGAAAGAAAAACATAAGGGAACGCGACGAAGACATGGGGGGGAGGAAGGCGCGTGTGGCGGGGCCCAATCCTCATGACTGTTGTTTGTCGTGGAATTGGTCTCTCCGGGCCTCAACACAGAAGTGCCAACAGCCGTCGTGGTTTGGGGGCTGTTGCGGGTGGGAGGCTGCCAACAGCCACAAGTGACAGCTCCAAAACCATCAAGCTTTGTCCTGAAAGGCAACTCCTCGCAGAATGCTTCCCTGCAGCCTGTGCTTGCTGTGTAGAATGTCGTCACGGGAACACCTCATGGTATAGCTTGGCACCAAGCTTGATGGTTGAAGCACCAGCATCCGGACCTGGCAAGCGACTGGGAAAGAATAGAAATGAGGATCGAGAGAAGAAGAGGAAGAAGAGGAAGAGGCAGAGGGAGAGGGACACAGAGACACACAAGCATGGAAAAGACAGGGGCGAGAGGGCGGAAGCTAGAGAGGAGAAGAAAAAACACTGATTTTCCATCAATCGTGCTTGCGCTTGATCCTAGGCCGTCCATGTTTCCATGTCCACGCCTGGAGGAATGCGATGTTGGTCACCAGCATAAGGCCCTGAAAGAATTAACGGGTTGATGCCAAACCCTTCAACCAAACACTTAAAGCTAAACCCCCGAACCGAGAGCCTCGCAGATCATACAAGAGCGATGCTGTATTGCAGCACTGTCCGGTGTGAGGTCATCTCATTGTGTGCGCGGGAGCTCTTGTTTTAGCCTTTCCTGGCTGGAGCTCGGGCGGAGCTTTTTCTCAACGCGATCATTGAGACGAGTTCGTTCGAGGGCTGGTTGAAGCGGGTGCGAGCTCCCTGTAGTCGCCGGGCTCACTCGCATAGCGTGTCAAATCATGCGGTGGAGGCTCGGTCATCCCTTGCGGCTTATGCTGAGAAAATGCGACGCATCGCTATTCATACACCTGATGCAAGGATGCAGGCAACAAAGGTTTGCTGGATGGTTGCCCCTACAGTTTCTATAGTGCGCTGGGTTATGGAGCTGGGCACCGGCTCTTTGATGCATACATGTGGCCCATGTGCACACCTTCCACAGAATAAGACCATGTTTGTGCGTCAGGCTGCCCCGCTCTCTACCTTGGGAATGCAACGATACCTGCACTTGATTTCCCTCACTCCAAGGAGGGCGAGGAGGTGTCCTCCTGTCGCCCACGGACGAATAACGCCACGAAGCTGTTGACAATCAAGAATAAACCAACACAAACACTCCCCCCCCCCCCCCTCCCGCCATGCAGCCGGTGCAGCGAACGACTCCGACAGTAAGCATCTTGAGGTGCAGGCCACTGCAAGCCACTTCTTCACGGAGTAACCTCGTTTTTTGAGCAGCATGTATAGCACTACACTGCAAGCACGGAGGAAAATCACATTGACATCGCCAAAGGCAACATCCAACAGCATCACTTTCCATGTCAGGGTGCGTCGATCAAGCAGCAGCCATGAGAGCAGAGCTGTTAGTGGCAAGTTGACCTTGAAACGGAAACGCGGAAGCTTCGACGCGCTCATGCGATGAACTGTCGATGACATGGCGTCACTGCAGCCAGTAATGCAATGTGTCGTGCCTGCGCGATCACCTTCAAACTCCCGGCATCATAAAACCGCAGCGCCTGAGACCATCGCAGCTGGCAACGATACAAAGGTACAGGTATTCCGAAATGTAGATGATGTAGCTTGGAACATTTCAGGGACACGGACAGCCCTCGTGGGTGTGTATGCCCATAGTCACAAACGACTCCAACCTTCATGGCACAGAGTTGGGCGAAGCCAAATGCCGCCGCAATGGGCAGCACCTGCGCTTCCGCAGTCCGTAGCAACGCCAAAGTTTGGTTATAATCGTTTTTGCTTCAGGGCTCCTGCGGTGTCCTTGTTTGGTTGCGGCCAGATTGGGAAATTCGAAAACGATTCCTGATTCCGAATTTGTCAGTGTTCGGAGACTATGCAATGATTGGCAAACGAAGGGGGCAAAGAAGGGGGATTGCTGATCCGGGAACATAGGGCAGCTCATCGCGTTTAAATGAAGATTTGTGATCGGTAGTTTGTGCAACCTGGCTAGACAAATATCGACCGTTTCTGACATGGGTGCTGACTAGCACATCTCTGAATCTTGGCTCCGAGTATTTCTGAACCCCTGAAACGCCAAAGTTTCGTGGCGGCGGCCAGTTTTTTCCTAAACCGAGGACGGAGACAAATGCATCCACCGGTTTCATCCTTTTTCTCCCTCCGCAGCACAAGTGACCTCGCATCGCTATTTGGCCCAACCCAGGTCGACGATAACTGGGTAGTGGTCAGATGGATCTTTGAGCGAAGGCAAGACCTTTTGCAGTGCATCCTCAGCGCTCCTGAACTGCATGGGCTTGTACACCTTAGCTGGTCTTTAGCTGCACTGTAGCTGCTGTAGCTTCCACAAAACATACGAAACAAGCCGCTCAGCAAGTCTTCTGCAGGTTTGCAAAGGCTGCCCTATGTAGCGCTTCTGCAGTTTTTGGTCTCGCCCTTCAATCCTGCAAGGTCCCCTACTGTCCTTTTCCATGAGCTTCTATGTCTGCCACCACCCCTATCATCCCCACCTTCCAAAACACGTGAGTGGGCTCGGGTCATAATTGGAGACACGCAAGATCTAAACGCGGGCTGCTTCGCGTGATCGTGATGACCGAAGCTGCCGGGGCTGTAGAAGATGTGATCAATGAGGTAGTAAGCGTGATTGCCGATCTTTTTTGCCTGAGCCGACTGCGGACCCCGGACCTTGTTCGTCGTCACTGGCTGCTCTAGCCCTTGATCACTTTGATCCAGAAAGTTGCCGTCGGGAGTGAAGAACCCATCCCAAACGGAATTGCCAACAGCTTGGCGCAGCTCCTTCCAACACGTAGAGGGGCTCGTGGCCGCCTTGAAGCTCGGATCTGAGTTTGCATCCATGCAAACAACCAAGTTCTCCCCAGAAGCTCGAAGCTGATGAATCTCTGGGATCAAGCCACCTGACCGCAGAAAATTGGCAGTCGGGCAGCCGGCCCAGAAGGTTTTGCTATTCTTGCGCGTGCCAAAACTATGAGGAGAGATAGCGATGCCAAGGAAAACGTACAAATTGAGAAGCCATGACGACAGTTACACTGAAGCGTAGGGCAACATTGTGGCCGTGTTTCATACCTGTCGCGCCTGTCGCACATGGGTTCAGAAACAAGGTTGATGTATGAAAGGCATATAGGTTGAAGAATCCTGCGCCCAAAGGCGGTTGCATTCATCATGCCATGCACATGGTGTTCCGTCATGGCCTGATGGTATAGACGGCCCCTTTCCCATCGATCTCCGAGAAGCAGGGTTTAGGGCAATCATCCTGAAGGCACCTAGGAATTTAATCATTTAATGCTGGAGGCCTCCGTCATGTTTCGACCCCGCGGCCCAGACTCTGGACAGTGGTCAGGCTCGAGGAAAAAGGGGGCAGGCTTATGGCAGGGCCATTCTCAGGCATGCTCAGGCCAGGCTGGGGGCCTTCGCACAGAAGCTCGCACTGCAACCGCTCATCTTCATCTTTTGGCGTATCGCCAGAGCCTGAGCACGGGTGAACGTGATCAGACTTGCTGTTGTGCTGCTGCCGTTGTTTCTTGATTGTTCTTCAGTTCTTCAATCCTGCGCATGGAGAGTGGCTGCAAGATGCTTGACAACACGATGCGCTAACCGCTAACATTCGCTACCCATCCCTCGTTCTCACGACGAGGGGCTCAGATGAGTGCCCATCACGACCACGGACTTTTCTGGATCCTTGCGGTCTTGCAACCTTGACACTCACGAGACAGAGTGATCCGCTAAGCAAGTGAAGCCATTACAGCGCACTACAGATTCCCAAACGATCTCAAAGCGCTGCAGCTGAGATCAGCTGCGCAACTTCACCTGAACGAAGCCCTTTCCACCACCTGGACAAGGAATTCCAAGACTTTTGATGTCTTGCAGGCTGACACATGAGTCGTGGCAGCCCCCTCTAGTGGTGGCATAGTTTATCAGTGTTTTGCCCGCCTGGATATGGTTGTGTCCGGAGCTCTGTGGCCAGAAGCCGCCGGTCCTTCCAGAAAACGGCCACGCCCATGTCATCCAAGCTCGCAGCATCCTGGCATGTCCAAAGTCTGAGCGGATGTTAACGGATGTCCCAGCCATTCCGGCCCAAAAAACAGAGTCGAACAGCACGCTGAGAGGAAGCCTATGGATGCCTACTCGCACCGGTCCGAGAAACACAGCAGAGCACAAACTAGTACAAACAAGCGACGGCAAGCTCAAGCAGTCCTCAACTCCAGCATTCTCCAGTAGCATTTTGGATGTACCGGGCTGGATGAGCTGGTACCAATTTCCTCCAAACAGGCAGGCTTCTCAGCCAGTGCTGGCAGCCAAACCCACCCGACAGCAATATGTTCTGTGGCTAAGCTGAATCAAGCGGCGTGACAACAGCCCCTTCCTGGGATCTGTTATCTTCTCCACCAAGTCAGGCTCTCCGGACTTGCGAGCGGCTTCCAGAATCCGTTTGTCCAACCCAGTGGTCTGCATGTGGACATGCATTGATACCGACCCCAGATGCGGCAGGAAAGCATAACCTCAGTTGCAAGAGTGTTGCAAGTTTCGCCGCGGCCCCTGCTCGCCTGCTTATCGTTGTGGGCCATTAGCTCCACTGCGCGAAATTCACGCCAGCTTCCCCAACCCACCACGCACGTGCTTCGAACCACATAAGCAAAGCTACTGCAATATGTGTGAGTTGAACACTGATGTGCAAAAATCCTGTGCAACCACATGCGCATGTTTGCTTGGCAGGCTGGCTGCCACGAGATTCCCATTCCTGTTGGAAGAGTCTCGCCTTTTCAGGAGTTTTGTCGCTGAAGCTGTCCAGGTGGGCCGGTCTATACGGGGAAGATGCAGAAGCGGTCGGCAGCTGCGAGACATAACCTGAAGCACACGCGATCATGCTGCTGTATGCTGCGTATGTTTGCCAGATTTTGTCAGCATACAGTTTCTCTTCAGGAGATTCTTGATTTCGGTGAAGTTGCCCAGGCCCCGCAAAGAGGACACGAATTCCGCGTAGTGGTCAACTTCCTCACACCAGGTTTGCGTCTGTGGCCCGGCAAAGCAATTGCAAGAGCCTACAACGGAACACCCTATGAACATGCCCACTTTCACTGGCCTAGCAGACCCCCAGGAGCTGAAGGCCCGCGAAGGCCATCCCGAAATACATCACATACCCCAAACATGGACAATAAGTCAAATAAGCTGCACTGATTCATGCGTGGCTCGGTAAATACCATGATATCTGGACTGAAGCATTCCAGGAAACACATCATTTGGGAGCGGCGCGCTTCCCAGTCAACAGTTGCGTGGGTGTTCTCCTTCCGAAGGCGCAGGTGTATTTAAAACTGTCTAAGTCTAAGCGGTCGCGAGGTTGCAAAGTTGCAGAAACCTTCCGGCCCCCAAAAGTGCCGCAAAACCATGCAAAACCCTACGCTAATTCACATATTGCGGCAGCTTGGTCGCACCTGCGACACGGGAATGTTGTACTTCGCCTGGCATCGTTGCAGAGCCTCGAGGTCGCCTTTGGAACTCATCATCTCAGCAAGCAGGTCGCGGAAGTGAACGTTCTCCCCTTCCTTGGTTGGGACCATGTCCTTGTCGGCAGGCCAATCAGCCAGAATGGGCTTCACCAAGAAGCCATCATCAGACATAGAGTCTGCCAGGGTATTGTAGATGGCTACCCGCAGGCAGCTGGGGTGAACTGTTGGCAGCGGTTCCCACATCGACTTGGAAATCTCTTCCTTGTCGACCTTTAGCTCGTCCAGCCGGGCACGCCGCTGCGCTTCGAAAGTTGCCATGGCTCTTGGGCGTCAATGTGCAAAGTCTGAGCGCTGCTGCTACAGTATCGGCTTCTCAGCATTGCATCTATGAATCTTCCCCTATGTTCCCCTCATGCCATCTCGTATCGCCATTGCAAAACATCGAACGAGAAGCTGGACTCACAACAAATCTTTGCATGCAAGCGGCCGTTGGCATCCGCTGGCACCAATTATTGCTTGAGACGTGTCAGCAAGTTTCGCATCGTTTGACTGCACGACCCCTCACAGCACACCTGGCCTGGAATCCCCGCCGCATGGCCAGGCAATTTCGGAACCCAGGCAATCCATCGCGGCCCAATGCCAGCGCTAAGCCCAAACCTGCCGATGTGCTTTGGAACTAATGGCCTCGACACCCCACCTACTCATGCCGATTCCAGCGTGTTTCGGAGCTAAGTGGGGGCTATAACCATGGTGATCCGAGCGTTTACAAATTAAACTGCAAGCAGCACCTATTGACAGGGCATTCTTCCACGCGATGACCAGTGGCGCACACATTCGGCCTGAGCACTCATGTTCTTCCAAGCTTCCATGTGCATGCACGCATCCCTCTCAAGATCTGTGTAAGATGCCCACCGTGAACCGCAGCATGGCTGACAGCAATGCCTCAACACAAAAACTGCGAAGATCAAACTATGCTGCCTCTCACAAAGGTCGCAAGAATTGTGTAGCTCAGCTACGGGCTCTTCGACGCGTCGAGGAGCACGAAAAGGAAAACAAGCCACGCCTTTGGTGGGCGGCTTTGCCCCAGGAGCCGCTTTACATCGCTTTACTGCAGAGTTTGAGACCTTGCCTTGTGTTCTGGGGTTTGCTGCTTTTGCAGCGCCTCGCACGAGCTTGTAAACAAGCTTTGCGGCATGCACCCCGAGTCTAACCCGGCGCAAGGTGAGCACGTGCGAGTGCCTGCCCAGATGCTAGGGACGCCAACTCAGCCTTGCCAGGACAAAATCCATGCCGGACGGTTTGATCATGTACAGGAGCTTGCAACTGAGAAATCAACAGGAGACGAGTGGTGGCGAAACAGATGCGACGGTTGGAGGGGAGGTTCCTGAACAAGCAAGTTGATTGAAATCCATCCGCACCGCAGAAATTGGCAGAAATAGATCTCGATCGTTGTGTCTACTGTCGCGGCTCGTGGCATGCGCTGCGAGAAGCTAGAGTCCTCATCGCTGACTCGGTGTAAAGATCCTGCCAGCACCTGCAACACGAGCACAAGCATTGGCCACGTGGTAGCGTCGCACCGTCGCACTCAAACATGCGCAAACAAAAGCGGAAGAAGTCATAAATATCCAAGCCATCTAAGCTGCCGACATCGCTGGGCGCTGCATTTGGAGCCAGGAGCCCAGGCCTTGTTTCAGGACAATGGGACTGCAATGCTACAAGCAAGCAGCTCGGATGTTGCCAGGATCGAGGCCCTCAGAAGCTTTGGCTAGAAGGCAAATGATAAACAGCGCTGGGGCTAAGTGGCGAGCACTTTCTGCAGCGACTGCTCTAGCGTCTCCTCATGGTAGAGACTCAGAAGGACTAACAGCCAGAGCAACGGCACTTCAAGATGTGGAGCAGTGTGCTGAATACGATTGTTTCGTGCCATATGGCGGAACACTGCAGGGCATGGGGCGCTGGCACCCACCAATCTGAAGCTTTGGCGGCGGAACCTTGTGCACCGAGCCATGCACCGCAATGAAAACAGAGCATGGCTCATATGGCCCTTCCTTATTCTTCCTTGGTTCTGCTATGTTGTGCTGCTGCATCGCTTGCCAGGCTTCTGGCGGCTTCCGCGGCCAGCACTCCCGCATGAAGGCCATCAAAAACACATGTGTGACACCATGGAGTCTTTATAGATCCTCTGTATTCCTTTCATCCTCACCAAGCACTTGTATATGCTAGATGCTACAGGCCTGACCTATGTAGAAGCACTTCCCTAGAATGACATGTCGATTTCACAAACCTGCATTACCTGTCGTTGAGACAGTTCTTGTTTCACCAAGGTTACTGTTTGTCTGACTTAATCGGCAAACAACAATGTGCAGATGTACTGCGCAGCTCTGTATAGCGCAGAGGCTGCGAGCAGCCCACGACTGGATTGTCATGCTCACGCTTGCATTTAGCCTCCTGACTCGCACTTTAGTGCAGAGTGGCTTTCTGTCGTTTGACGCGGAATGCAAACTATAAATGCTCATGTGACAAAGGGAGGCAGTCGGAGTTTGAGTCGGAGTCTTGCCGGCAAGTCTGAGTCTGGTTCGCACAATTACCCCAACAGCTTGGAGTTTCGCAGCACCCCAGCACGAAAATGTACCCATTTGCGACCTCCAATGCTATGATGTTCCGCATTGCCGGCAATCAGTTCTTGGCTTTCACTTTGGCGAACATCTTGACGAACATCTGCAGCTGACTCGCATAACTCGCAGACATAGCACCTAGTTATGCATCGACGCCTTTTGGGTGTTGTAGCTGTCCAACTCCTGCTCCGCCAGCCAAGCATCTCAGCATGTCAAGCCACTCTACGAAGTAGAAGTCGCCGGGTGCCACTGGCACCACGGGACTCATTTTGCCTGCTTGTGTTCAGCAAATTGACAGAAGGTCCCAAGGAACATCAACGAGCCCCAGCATCCACCCCATTCAAACACTTGTCCAGCACCTCCGGAGTCCATACACTATCCATACACTAGCTACACATGCACTGCTTGGAGCACGTGCTCCTCTTGATCACCCTCATATTTGTGCCATGATCAAAAGCTCAGAAGCACTGAAGCAGCGGACCACACCGGGATCCCCCATTTCGCATTGTAGGCTGTCACCTGTCTCTGCACAGGCAGCTACTCAGTTGATGGCGTCCCATGGCGTCCCATGGCGTCCCCCCCCCCCTTTTCGCCCGGCAAACTCCTAAAGAATGACCCCCCAAGAAGTCGCTTGAGCGGCCTCGGTCCGCTCTCGTCGTTTACTGAAAAGAGCAACTCTTTTCAATCGTCAAGACGGCACTGTGGGGTCATGTCAAGTCACGACATCTGAAGTACAAGTTCTGTGCGAAGACGCGGAAGGTTTGTAGCCGGCAGCTTGATCGCTAGGAAGAATTGTCAGGATGAGTTACTGTTGCGGACAGTTGCGGAGCTTGTATACTTTGCAACATGCGAGCTCCTGCAGTTCTGCACATTGCCGCGCTGGCCTTGCATGCTGAGTGCTACTGAGTGCTACTGGTTCTCGGATTTCTGCTCCAGATGTGCAGAGCGCGCCTACAAAGGCGCGCCCTTCCTCTTTGCCACCAAGCTTGCCTGGACGCCGTTCTCAGACGGATAGGCCTCGCGGACTTAGAAAAAGTGCCGGGTCAGTTGTGGTTTTCCCCGACCTGTGCATGGCACAGAAGCCTGTGTGTTTCAAGAGCTGGCGCCAAACGCTGCCAAATCTTCAGCGCCACAATGGCGACAGACTTGTGGCGCTCTTCCTGCTGCTACTTAGTGGTGTGGTGAACAGAGATCATCGAAGGCTTGGGATGCAACTTTATCAAGAGCTGCACTTTGAAATTCCGGCATCACAGCAAGGCTCCTGGAGTGTGATTGGAGTTGGTCTTGTAATTGCAATTGCATAATATGCCTACTTAGCGCCTTGTAAATGATTCCTGATGCAGCCATTTTTCGTTTTTTTTGCTTACTTCACGATCGACAAGCATCACGCTGTGTTTCAAGTGAATTCATGCACGTGCCTGATCGGGCTTGTTCTGGTGCGCAATCCCACAAGCATCGACAGGCACAGCACAAGCGTGCCCACATTAGGCCGGAGGTCAATAGACCCAGCCTCTGTGACATTTTTTGGTATGCCGGTAGACTTTACTCTCCGCTGTTTGACTCGACTCATAATTACGACCATATGAGGTCAAATAGCTCACGCGTTGCTGGGCGCTGTGTTGCTTGCTATGCCCAATGACTGTTTCCTGGCCGCAGCGGGCGTACAGGCTGCCACTGGTCGCCGACACCGGTACTTGCATAGCCCCTGTAGCTTGGCAGTCTTGTTCGTGAAGTGTCTCCCTATGACAACGAGAGGCGAAAAGGGTTGCCCGCAAGCAGGCCTGATAGCATCTCAGAAAGCATGTGGGGTCGGCTTAGAAAGCAAGGCCTATGTTGATTTTGCTGCTGAGGGCAGTGACGTTTGCACATAGCAAATTTTGACAGAGTTGGCCTGCGACAACGTGCGGTCAAGACCGGACTAGACTCGAGAAGCATGACCTCATGACACATCATGACAAGCCTTTTTTGCCGATCTTCTTCTTTGGTGCCATCTGATGCCCACAGGAGATGGGCCACGCGGCTAGAATCGGCTAGAAGCTGCACGAATTATCACATGAAGGGCATCTGTACCGCCAGCATGTGTTCCGGGGGTACTGCGTAGCGGCTCAAAGATCTCAAGGCAAAGTCCCCAAGCAAGACCGCCTTCAGACCTGAGACTCGTAGTATCTCATATTCACCTTATGGCCTTTTGCGACACACGGCTCGGAACCTAGCTCGCGGCCATTTTGGGGATGGGAGGCGATGTCAACATGCACAGGCCTCCGCAGGACAGAAATTTGGAATGATGGTGAACCACGACTGAAAACATACTGCCGGGAGCCCATATCCGGCTTTCATTGCATTACAGATGCGACATGTGCAGGAGATGCTATGGCCGGGGGCAAATGAAATTGCCAAAGGGCATGTCATGCGCGCCTTGTTCTTTTTCTCGGCATGCTCTTGCCTGCAAGAATCAACGTGCATAGAACACGCCAGCACTGCACAGCAACCACTGGCGGTGTTCCGGCAGCGAGGCAGGAGGGTCCAATCTCATCAGAGGCGGGGAGGGCGATACATGGGGCTCGGGCACGCGCATGCAAGAAATCGCAAGTGTTCGCATTCATCGCAAAAAACTGTTCAGGGCTCATAGGCACTTCGCACCACCTTGCTTTGTCGCGGGGTGTCCTCATTCTTCGTCGCGCGCGCGCGCGCGTGTGCGCGCGCGCGCCTTCGTACATGGATCAGATTCAGACTAAGCCCACGACCCACCAAGCTGGAGTTTCTCCTGCAGGTCTCATGTTCAGGATTGGCAAGATTTACGGTTAGCATATGCTTACAGAATCCGTACAGGATCGGTGAGCATATGTTTACAGAACCCGTAGATGTGGAAGGGTCCTTGGCTTGGTTCACGGTCCCTCCTTACGTGTAGACACAGCTGAGTATCAAAAACCTCGTGCTGACAACTCAGCACTCTGCCGACATCACCACGTTGTGCCAGGGCCTCCATGGACATTGCCCTATGTAGGCCATAAGGCCACTTGGGGAAATGAGCATCTGCTTCCAAAGCAAGCCGACACTCGTGAACACAGAACGTACCACATGTCTGGCATTGTCTTCGAGTAGCCCGGGTGCGTGTGGGAAAGATCTACCCACGGCACTTAAGCCTACTATCCAGCATGGGGGGGTGTCTGGTATTGTTGAACATAGTCAGCAAATTCAACTACACTTTGCCTTCTAAGCATACACACATAGATACATGTGTATATATATATGTATGAATATATATATATATATATATATGTATGTATGTATGTGTGTGTGCATCGTATGGCATATTGAAGTTCAAAGGATCTCCATCAGTGGCTAGTCGCTAGCCCCAAGCCATTCAGGAGTCGCGATATCCCGCTGCCGCCTCTCCAAGCTGCTTGAAGAGCTCTTGGACCTTGACAAGCAATGCAGAAAAAAAAAACGCACCGGACCTGCACCAAGTTGCAAATTGCAAACCAAGCGATACGTGGCACGAGCATCCTTAGCAGGGAACATTCTCTCCTGACCGCGCGCTGGTTTCAGCAAATCGTCCCTTGACCTCACTGTAGGCAAGTTGAGAAGCATTGTTTCAAACACAATTTCGCAAATAGCAACCATCGAGTCATCACGAGTCATCACGTCTGCCCCATACAGCAAGTGGCCTCTGCTGCCTTGGACTCGCCTTCTGCACGCGAGACCTGACCTTGGCGTTTGGCAGGATTCCTGCACGTCTGATCTCCAATCCGCCTCACCAACTCTCTACCAGCATGATGCAATGCAACCACGAACCACATTCCGGCTGCAGACTTCTTACTGCAATGTACATACCGATCACTGATTGGGCTGGGAGCGGCACGATCTTCTGCGAGGTCGACCTGCCATAGCATCGTCATGAGATGACTTCCTCTCATCTCGGCCCCACATAGCCCCAGATCGCTTCAGATCACTTCAGCACTCTCAGGAGCGCTATCTGCCAGATTTTGGAGCCTTGTTGCCCACCAGATAAACGAGGACATCATCGCCACGAGACTGGCGCACTTCCTGCACAATAACTCATGGCCGAGATGTGCTCAGATTCTGAACACAAAAAACTTTTGTTCGTTGCTAGTTGCACAATATAAATGCAAGCCCTATCGGCATTCGAGATTCTCGAGGATTGGCGTCAGGGTGGGCCGCCTCATCGCGCTCCGATGAAAATACCGCAGCAGGACGCATGCAGATCCAAGATTGGACCTATACAAAGTTTCGTCCACAGCCTCTCCGACCACAAGAACCGAACGAGCTCTGCTACCTGCACCCGATGCCTCCAGATGTCTCCTACAATGTCCTACAATTCCTTCTGCCCTGCAACTTTAAAAGCAACCGACGACGAAAACTCTGATCAACGCACGAGCACAATGTCTTTGATTCTGTTGGCTTCTGGCTGCGGCAGACGTGGCTGTGCGGAGACATGGGGTAATTCTTGATATCATCTGCCGTAGTCTTACATATTGAGGAATGCGCAAACAAGCGGTCCTCGATCCATTGGGTGGTGCTCTCGAAAGATTGGCGGCTGGTCACGTCGTAACTTGGTCATCGAACGGTGGCAAGATTCGCGACTCGTGCTCAATCTCGTGCTCAATCTCATCTTAGTCGCTGGCCACACAACAGCCGCAGCGGCATCCCGGATGTATCCATTGACCAAGCTGCGGAACCGCTCCTCAAGGGCAGTCCGCGAGTTCGACAAAAAGCTGCCAAAAAACCGGAAGCAAACTCCGTGTAGCTAATGTTTTATAAAACATGATGCGGGACACTTCGTAACATTAGTCCGATTCCCAGAGGCAGGGCGGCTTATGCAGCTTTCGGGAGCACTCAAGGAGAACTTTGACTAGAGTTCACTGCGCAGAAGCGTTGGGGGTCAGCTTGATGACCAAAATGACCAAATGTGGGCACCGTGCACATCGGCCTGGCCCGCCGTGTCCCAAAGCTGAAGACGAATCTGGCCTTGGGGTCTACAATTTGGGCATACAATGATAGTGAATAAATGATTCCTGGCCGAATGGTTGATCTACGATGGATACACCAATGTAGCAAAGGACCACAGCAACGGGATAAATGCAACAAGATGCAACAGATAGCTTACCCAGTTGCGGGTCGATACGAAGGCTTCGTATCAGAAAGGTCGTTGCAAAATGACGTGAGTTAGTGAAAAATTGATGGGCAGAACTGACCACCTTTGGTGGGGGGAAGTGCTGTGGCTTGAATTTCAACCCAGATTCAAGGGTCGATGCGCTCGCACGTTCAAAGCTTCATGGACTTTGCACTAATAACTGTCGAAAGGCAGAATGCAAAGCTAACAAAAGTGAGCGGCAAACTTTTCCTTAAAATATCCTTTGGAAAAAATGAACTTCCGCCTGCGGGCTTCCGCGCACCTTCTGCGAAGACATTTGGGCCATTACAATGGGAACTCGACTTCCGCGGACCCTTCCGTGGATTTACTCTTGAGCTTTGCTTCGGCGAAGCTGCCGTGAGAGGGGGCAGTCGTCTTGTCAATCGTCTGCTTTGGGTTTGAGTCGTGCTGCCACCAAGTCCGTCGCTTGCAAGAAGGTCGTTCCGGGTATACAGGAGACGTCCGGCTTCACAGATGAAGTGCGTTGAGGCAACTGTAGATTTGAAGTTGAAGGGTTCTGGACTTGATGAGCTGTTGGCTGTTGTATTCGTGGAAACTCGAGTGCGCTGGGTCGTATTTGCAGTCGTCCGCGCACGTATGTTTTGAAGTGGGGCGGAGCCAATTCAATATTGAATCAATGGTGCTGAATCGGTTTCCACGCATGACATCCGCTGAAGAACCAAACTTCAGAAACGAAGCCTGGCGCCGTTAAGCTCAAAACTTATAAGTACTAAGGACAGGCAGATCTCAGATACGCACGTGTACCTCGATGCACTAGCAGTCACTAGCATGATATACCCTGAAGCTTCGTCAGCAGAGTCACAGGCTGAAGTAAATTGCGGCTTAGTTTTCCTCAGGATGTGGCTGCCACTCAGCAGCTGCACAGTTTTTGTTTGAAAGTCCATGCCGATGGTTGCCTCTGCCTGTCAGGCTGCTACAAGTTTTCTGTCTTGCCATCAACACTGTTCTTAGCCCCTTCGGTGGCCTTCTCTTCGAACGTGTTTTTCAGATATCGCCTCAGCACGTCGGCATTTCTTCCAGCGTTGGCGCATGAAGCCGACGCAGAGTCATGCAGGGCATGTGGCATGTACTCCACCAGCTAGTCTGAGAAAGGCACACTACTACAGCAGTTTTACCCACGGATTGATCGCCGACCAGTACCACCTGCACCAGTGGACATGGAGACAACATGAGACAACGTCGTTTCCGAAATGGTCACGGGCAGGCACCTTGAACTTTGGAAGCGACATGGCAGCACTGGGCGGGAATTCAGCACTACAGGACTGCGACTACCACCAAGTTTTTAGTAAACTTTTGTAGTCGTCAGCTGGCGCCACTGCTGCCCCCTGCGATAGCGATAGGTCATTGCTACATCTTTTCAGCTTTGCTTGCAATAATTGTCCGAGTGTGAACATTCAGAATGGCTTAGGGCTTAGGGGCCTAGTTTACCCAAGTTGTCTTGAATAGCTCTTATGTCGTCGCGCCCGGGGCATGGCTGCACTGGTGGCAATACTGATCCTGTCCGTGTCTTGCTGTTCTGCTGACTGGCAAACTGAACTTTAAACCTTAAACGCTGGAAAGCATCACGCAACAAGCAGTTCGTGATGCCCTGACGAGCATTCATTGTGCGCTGGAAGCGTTTCTATTCTGCTGCTTGCACACATTCAAATTCCGCAAGGCGGAATGTGCATCGAACTTTCGAACTGGCGTCAAGCGACGCGCCCGTCATGCCAACAACACCCCGTCGGCTCAAGTTTCAACTTCGACATACGTGGACGTTGAGTCGTTTGTGCCGCGATGGTGCAACTGATCCGCCCCCAAGCTTTGATGAAAGTGCTTCATATGTCGGTCAACAAGACTTCTGAAGGCGAGGCGATACTTCAATTCGATGCAATCACTCACAAAAACAAACTTCGAGAACTTTCTCTACGTTGCCCTTTCCCCAACACACATCTGAACAGGCAGATCGTCGACGAACTCCAAGCATCTCCAAGCCCTTGGAATCTAGACTCTAGACCCTCAAGATACACCTTACAGGGTCTTGGGGTTGGATGCTCTGCCCTAGCCCTAGCACGCCTTTTGCACCTCTCCTGATGGGGTTACACGACATACCGCCTCGCCACTGGGCCTAGTTAAGAGGTCAAACTTTTCGGGGCGGGATGTTAGTGTCGGCCGCTGTCTGCTGTTGTGCAGTGTGTGTGTGTGTGTTGTTTGCGTGCGTGCGTGCGTGCGTGCGTGCGTGCGTGCGTGCGTGCGTGCGTGCGTGCGTGCGTGCGTGCGTGCGTGCGTGCGTGCGTGCGTGCGTGCGTGCGTGCGTGCGTGCGTGCGTGCGTGCGTGCGTGCGTGCGTGCGTTCGTGCGTGCGTGCGTGCGTGCGTGCGTGCGTGCGTGCGTGCGTGCGTGCGTGCGTGCGTGCGTGCGTGCGTGCGTGCGTGCGTGCGTGCGTGCGTGCGTGCGTGCGTGCGTGCGTGCGTGCGTGCGTGCGTGCGTGCGTGCGTGCTTGCGTGCGTGCGTGCGTGCGTGCGTGCGTGCGTGCGTGCGTGCGTGCGTGCGTGCGTGCGTGCGTGCGTGCGTGCGTGCGTGCGTGCGTGCGTGCGTGCGTGCGTGCGTGCGTGCGTGCGTGCGTGCGTGCGTGCGTGCGTGCGTTCGTGCGTGCGTGCGTGCGTGCGTGCGTGCGTGCGTGCGTGCGTGCGTGCGTGCGTGCGTGCGTGCGTGCGTGCGTGCGTGCGTGCGTGCGTGCGTGCGTGCGTGCGTGCGTGCGTGCGTGCCTGCGTGCCTGCGTGCGTGCGTGCGTGCGTGCGTGCGTGCGTGCGTGCGTGCGTGCGTGCGTGCGTGCGTGCGTGCGTGCGTGCGTGCGTGCGTGCGTGCGTGCGTGCGTGCGTGCGTGCGTGCGTGCGTGCGTGCGTGCGTGCGTGCGTGCTTGCGTGCGTGCGTGCGTGCGTGCGTGCGTGCGTGCGTGCGTGCGTGCGTGCGTGCGTGCGTGCGTGCGTGCGTGCGTGCGTGCGTGCGTGCGTGCGTGCGTGCGTGCGTGCGTGCGTGCGTGCGTGCGTGCGTGCGTGCGTGCTTGCGTGCGTGCGTGCGTGCGTGCGTGCGTGCGTGCGTGCGTGCGTGCGTGCGTGCGTGCGTGCGTGCGTGCGTGCGTGCGTGCGTGCGTGCGTGCGTGCGTGCGTGCGTGCGTGCGTGCGTGCGTGCGTGCGTGCGTGCGTGCTTGCGTGCGTGCGTGCGTGCGTGCGTGCGTGCGTGCGTGCGTGCGTGCGTGCGTGCGTGCGTGCGTGCGTGCGTGCGTGCGTGCGTGCGTGCGTGCGTGCGTGCGTGCGTGCGTGCGTGCGGGCGTGCGTGCGTGCGGGCGTGCGTGCGTGCGTGCGTGCGTG